TTTAACCAACATATCATCTATGTAGACTTCCATAGTCTTCCCGAGGTGATTGTGAAACATTTTGTTCACCAACCGTTGGTAAGTTGCTCCTGCATTTTTCAAACCAAAAGGCATTACCTTATAACAGTAGATACCTCTATCAGTAATGAATGACGTCTTTTCTTGATCTTCGGGGTTCATCATTATCTGATTATAACCCGAGAAGGCGTCCATGAATGTTAACAGCTCATTTCCAGCGGTGGACTCTACAAGTCGATCTATATGCGGGAGCGGGAAACTATCTTTGGGACATGCTTTATTCAGGTCTGTAAAATCGATGCAAACCCTATCTTTCCCATTCTTTTTCTTGACAACGACAGTGTTTGCTACCCATTCCGGATATTGCACTTCTCTTATGGACCCTATCTTCAATAGTTTATCCACTTCGTCATTTACTATTTTGGCCCGCTCCACTCCAAGCTTTCTTCTTTTTTGTTTCACCGGTTTGAAGCTTGGATCCACGTTTAGTTCATGACAAATTATACTCGGATTTATGCCAGGCATGTCCGCTGCTGACCATGCAAATGATGCTTTGTTTTTCCTTAAGAGTTCGATCAAAGCTTCTTTTGTTTGGCCAGTCAAAGTTGCTCCAATTCTAATTTTCCGGTCCGGCTTGTCTTCTTCCAGTACTACTTCGACTACTACATCCTCTTTCTTCTGCCCACTAGGAAATTTTGTTTTTAGTCCCTCTTTTGCGGGCTTCGTTAATTGCTATTGAATCTTCATACGGTGGCTAGCTAAGTAACACGTCCGTGAAGCTTCTTGATCTCCCCGAATTGTTTCCACCCCATTTGATGTTGGAAATTTGATACATTGATGGTATGTAGAGGGGACTGCTTTCATTCGATAAATCCAGGGAGTCCCGAGGATGATGTTGTAAGCTGCGGGCTTATCGAAGACGACGAAGTCCACGATCTTTGATACCTTCTTGGCAAGGACCGGTAGCTTGATTGTTCCGAGAGACATGGCTGACTCGCTTGTGAACGCAACTAACGGAGATGGGGGTCCTACTATGTCTCCTCGGCTGATTCCCATTTTTTCTAGAGTACTTAAAAAGATCAGGTCAACCGAACTGCATGTATCTATGAGGATCCTTGATACTTCGAAGTTAGCAACATCAAGAGTAATGACTAGAGCATCATCATGCGGTCTTTCGAGATGCCGCGTTTCTTCTTCATTAAATGATATTGAGGCACCTTGAAAATCAATTTCTTCGCTCAAGCTTGCTTTGAGTAAGACATTTCGTCTATGCTTTTTGATGGAACTTATTGAATCTCCGCAAAATCTGGAACCTCCTAGAATCACATTGATCTTACCCTTAGAACTCCTTGGTTCTTCCTCGTTGGATAACCTTGGTCTTTTGGAATCTTGATCTTTGGAGTTTTCCTTTGCTTCGTGGTATTCCTTCACAAAATCTTTTATATCGAATTTAGAAAGATCGCCACTAGCCCAAAGCTCTGCGAGGTGCTTTTTAAGAACGCTGCAATCCTTGGTTAAGTGTCCGGTTACTTTATGAATGTCGCAATATAGACTTTCATCACGGATCCAAGTGTTTGATCTTCCTTTCCCTTGGAATTGCTTTCCAACGGTGTTGTTGAAGGGTTGCGACCCAAACTTCTTTGGTCCTTTGCTCTCCCTAGGCTCGAACTTCCTGGCAGGGACGGTGATTGCTGGCTTTTCTTGCTTATTTCTTTTGGCAAAACTTTCTTTTTCGTCCTCTACCTCCATCCAGTTGTTCGCGCGAAAGAGTGCATCCTGAATTGTGTCTGGTTTATGAAGTATTAAGTCTTCTTTAAACCTTGAGTCATGTCGCAATCCCTTTCGTAAGGCAGATAAAGCTGATTGCTGTGAGATTTTTGGGAGTTTTGACAGCACTCCTTTGAATTTGGTGATGAAAACGCGAAGTGACTCATTAGATCCTTGCGTTAAGTTCCAAAGATCGGCATCCGAAACGCTTTTATCCATAAGGATGGAGTATTGCTTTAAGAATACGGCCGATAGTTCGTCGAAATTGCTGATCGAACCCGGCTCTAATTGGGTGAACCACATTAAAGCTTGGCCACATAGATTCTCCGAAAACAGCTTGCAATAGCCTGCGTCCTCATCAGCTTCATCCAATTCGACTCTTCCAGCAGCGATCAGAAAAGCTGCGAGATAGCTTTTTGGATCCTCCAATCCGCTGTAAGGGTCCAATTTGAGTTTCCGGGAATCTTTGATCCTCAAACTCGCAATTCGCGAGATGAAAGGTGTTCGCCTAGCTTCTTCAATGACTCGATTGATGTCTGGCTCTGAACTTGTAGCCTGATGAAATTTTGATTTCATTTCTTTTAATTCCTGGCTAACCTTCCTCATGGTCTCGAACTGGTCGAGGTTCTCCTGCTCGTACTGAGCTGCAAGTTGTTCTTCATCCCCGAGCTGCGTCTCTTCTTCCAACGTCTGAGCTACGTTATTAGTAGCACCGGGAGTTGTTTGTCCACTGGTTTCATTTCGTGCAGCGGAACTTGGCGAGTTGAATATCCCTCTTCGGATTCCCACCGGGTTTCCTGCACTTAAAGAGCGAACACGAGTTTGTATAGTATTGACGTTTTGACTAAGAGATACCTGGGATGTTTGCAACGTATCGACGGCCTTTTCCACATCCGAGAACTTTTGTGATATGTCCGACATGGTTTGCTGCATAGCTTTGAGGGTTTCGGCCAATGATGTCTCAGCAGCGTCTCCTCCGGACATTGTTGCTTATCTCGGGAGTGTGATAAAGAAAAAATCTGACCACTCAAGAATCGTAATCTTACCCACAGACGGCGCCAAAATGTGGATGTCGGATTCACACACTCAAGTATTTTGTTAAGTAGGAAGGATTATTCTTGAGGGACAAAAATGAATATGTAAAAAGAAAACTTATAAAATTGCTATGAAAATTGCTATATTATTTCTTGTTCGCGAGGAAGCTCCCCTTTACACGGCCATCGGCCTCTATATTTATACATAGATAAGCGACATTAAAATGAGTAATTAAGTACAATTATTCCTTCTTAAATGTGTCCGTTTTGATTCTTCGACTTTAATGCTCAACGTTTGAATTTGAGTTGACTCTGATCTCTATGGGCCTCGCCCCTTTTGGCCCAAGTGTCCTTAAACCGACTTACCCGTGTCTTCTACACCGAACTCGTGTCACAGTGCAGTCACTTCGGATTATTGAAATGTTGACAACCACTTCGACCGCCCCTTCGGCTCACGGGTCCAATGGGCTTCATCCTTTATGGGCCATTATCTTGACTACGTGGCAATCTTTGGTTGGTCGCGGACTTCTGGTGCGGGATCCGACACCAACAGACCCTACGATAAGTATGATACAAACTGTCACCTTCTCCTCTCTTCTCTCGCTTCTAATGTCTTAGCTCGAGGCGGCTTCTACAATGCTTCGGTTGGACAAGGACCTGATCGGGTGTATGCTGCTGGGATGTGCATCCGAGGTGATGAACCAAAAGGTTGCTCAACCTGTATCAACTCTTCTTTTCATAGGTTGATAAAGAAATGTCACAACCAAAAAATAAGGCCTCGACTGGACCTATTACAAGGGAGTTCCTTATATGATACGTTACTCCAACCGTTCGTTTTTTGGATCACTCGAGATGCAACCATTTTATAAGGAGTACAATAGTCCAGATTTCCAAGTCAATTTGAAAGAGTTTGAAAAAACATGGGAGGCTTTGATGCTTAGTGTGATAGCCAAAGCAATCTCGTCGTCCAACCCAAAATATCTATGGGTTGTGCAATGCAGTAGAGATATATCTCCGTGGAGCTGTGGCAAATGTTTAAGAGATAATGTGGATCATTATAAGTTTTGCTGCCGTGGGAAAACATATGGCCTTAGTTTCAGGCCGAGCTGTTACATGCGATGGGATGTCTATTCATTCTATGGCGTTTTTGACAATAAGACTTCACCCACACTTCCTCTTGAAAAAAGTAAAATCTCAGAACTATCTTGTCCAGCTATTGTTTTCGTAATCTTTTAGCTAACCATGATTAATGTTTGTCTGCTCTGTTTTTGTAGTCAAATTTGTTCACACCCCCTGTGAGTTACACTCATTGATCTTGCTTGAACCCTACGGTACTAGCTTTTAGTCCATATTTTCCCTTAAGCGCAATAATCATAGGTAATTTGGGCTTGTTCAGGTGGCAGAAAGATTTCTACAGGACTTATTGTCGTAGTGATCGTTGTTCTCGCCTTGGTGACCACTGTACTGCTTACTCTAGGGTATGCTCTTTGTAGGAGGAGAAAAGCGTACAATTGAAGATGCAGATTCTAGAACAGCTCGCTGTTGGGATCAGGAAGCTGCATCAGATCACATCAGACGGCTGAGTTGCTGACATGGACGCGTGAGCTGACGTGGCAGAGCTGGACTGGTTGGTGTGATGAGCCAAGGAAGGTTTCGGACTTGGCAAGGTGGTTAATGACGTGGGGTTGGTGTGAAGATATGAGAATATTTCTTGTACCAACTATGGAAGGGAAAAGCTTGATGAACAAAGAAGTTCCCAAAAGGTTGATTCTTGAAGATCCTAGGGTCTAGGGTTTTCGTGTAAGGTATAAAAGGTTTAGGTGGAGGCCATAGGCGTCGCTAGCACTTTAGAACATTGTTATACGGTTGTAATCTTCGAAGCAAAGAAAAAACTTAGAAGGTGAGTGTGTTCTAGTCCTCCTTGTTCTCATCGGGTAGATAGATAAGAGGATTAGCATTTGTTTTGTTCTTGTCGGGTTCATCCTATTGGGTAGAATAGGTGAGTAAGTGCCGAGATAAATGTATCCTTGTATAAAGATATATTTATCAATAAGAACAAAGTAAAGGCGTTGGCTTGGCGCGTTTCCAAGCGTAAACAGTGTGATGTGTACCTCTATACCCTTTCAAATTGGTATCAGAGCAGTCGCTTGATAAAAGAATGTGTCTTTTCAATAGGTGAGATCTTGTGACCAGGTATGGAGAAATCACAGCAGTTCGTTGCGATAGCTAAACCGCCGAAGCTTGATGCAGAATACTATGGCTACTGGAAAGTGTCAATCAGGAAGAGTAGTTGGAACATTGTAAATAATTGTCAATTTCAATTACACTCTATTTATTCCTTTTTTGTTTCTAACAAAACTGAAAGTGATTTGTGCTGTGTTTTGCAGCGGTTACATGCCTCCCGAGTATGTGGCGAATGGGCAGTTCTCGATGAAATCTGCTTCCACCAGATAGATGGTTCAGTAGGCAACTTGGTCACATATGTTAGTACTAAAAAAAGCAAATGCAATCTTGAACTTATTTTCACCCCTTTAAACTGTGGTTGTGGCCCTGAACATTGGTTTTTTGACAAATGACTTAACAGGTTTGGAGGCTTTGGAACAACAAATCTTTCTTGGAACTCGTAGACCCGGCCATGGGAGAGAGTTATGATAAAGATGAAGTCATCAGATGCATCCATATAAGCTTATTGTGCGTTCAAGAAAATCCTGTAGATCGTCCAACCATGTCCACATTATTTCAGATGCTTACTAATACTTTTCTTACTCTGCCCGTGCCTCAATCACCTGGAGTTTTCTTCAGGGTCAGATCCGAGCCAAACTCATTAGCCGAGAGATTGGACCCTGGTCCGTCTAATACCATGTCGTTTGCTTATTCCATTGATGATGCGTCGATCACGAGTGTTAATCTTCGTTGAAATTAGAGGTTAATAATAGTAGGGAAAGTTACTAGATTAACCCAAATTATGAGTTTAATTACTAGAGTGTCTTAAAAAATTTAGGGGTTAAATGAGTTATTTTCGTGACCATAATACCCTTTCTCTCTTTGTTAGGAATAAAAAAAAGTCAAAATTACCCTTAAATAAATAATAAAAACGTGGGCAAAAAATATTAGGAAAAAAAAATTATTTGAAAAGTCTGTTGGATAAGTTGTGACAGATTTAATTTCCATGACAGACTTATTTGTCTCCAACAGATTTTTTGCGACAGATTTTTTTTCTCCCACAGACTTACTTGAAATAGGTGACGACAGATATTTAATTTGTAACAGATTTTTTCTCTACGACAGATTTATTTTATGATGACACCACAGACTTTTGTAATTTTGACAGATTTATTAAAATATGTGGCAGATTTATTATTTCAGTGGCGTCAGACTTATATTTTTTGATAAAAATCTGTCATAATGTAGCAGATTTGTTAATGAAAAAATAATTACTAGTTTGACTTATTAGTGATAGCAGATTTATTTTATGTTATGACAGTTTTTTTTGTTTTAACAAAAATCTGGAGTGTGATAGCAGATTTGTTATTTAAAAATATAAATTGCTAGAATGACATATACTCGCAACCAAAATGTTTTATGTTATGACAGATTTTTTTTATATTATGACAGATTTCAGATTGGATATAAAAAAATTTGTCATTGATGACAGTTTTATTGATGAAGATAGAATTTTAATCTGCATAATCTGGTAATGACAGACATATTCTTACCGCGACAGACTTATTTATATTAAATGACTCATGTGTGGCTCTCATCTTGTTAATATATGATTAATTTTTTTCGTTTTAGATAAATATATTTATTTTTTCGAATTTCTATTTTTTTTTTCGTTTTGTATTTTTTATTTCATTTTATATTTTTTTCAATTTTTTTTTTATTTTTTTTATTTTTTTCGTTATATATAAAATTTTTAATCTAATTTTTTTTTTCATTTTGTATTTTTTTTCGTTTTATATATTTTTTTTCAATTTTTATTTTTTATTTTGTTTTATATTTTTTTTCGTTATATATATAATTTTTTTAATTTAATTTTTTTTCGTTTTATATTATTTTTTTCAATTCTTTGTCGTTTTGTATTTTTTTTTCGTTTTGTATTTTTTCAATTTTTTATTTAATTAAAATATTATATGTTAATTAGTTTATTTTAATAGAATTAAAAATAAAATGGGTATTTGGTCTTTTAACACAAAAATTGTGTTATTCTAGTAAACCACAATATTTGGATGTTAATCTAGTTATTTTTCCCAAAATTTGGGTCAAACTAGGTAAATTTCAGATAATAGTATGTATACCATTTCGTAAGCCAAAATTCTAACGTGTGAAATTTACGTTCTGATTACTAAAACGGGGAACGTAAATTTATCTAACTCTGCACAATATTGTGTGTACACTACTTGGTCAGAGTCTTGACTTTAAACTCTTCGTGTCTTGTTTTCCCACTTTGCAAGTTTTGTTGTTCACTAAATTTGACGTTAAAAAAAACAAAAGCACTTGACTTTGCCTTTGGTTGATTTATAGTCGTCGCTAATCATCCTCTGTTTCACATATAGGAGATTGATCATGATGTGAAACCCAAACTGGGGAAATCGAACAATGACTTCTTGCGCCTCTTTCATCTTCCTTTTTCTTTTCTCCTTCCTCACTAGCTTCACAGCTTCTGCTCAAAATATTTTCTACATACAGCATATTTGTCCAAATACGACAACTTATTCACGAAACAGCACTTACTTCACTAATCTCAGAACCCTTTTGTCTTCTCTTTCTTCCCCCAACGCCTCTTATTCCACTGGATTCCAAAACGCCACGGCGGGACAAGCCCCCGACAGAGTCACCGGACTTTTCCTTTGCCGCGGAGACGTCTCATCGGAAGTTTGTCGTAAGTGCGTCGCCATTTCCATCAACGACACACTCACTCAGTGTCCGAATGAGATGGAAGCCGTGTTTTATTATGATGAGTGTATGCTCAGATATTCTGACCGGAATATTCTCTCGACCCTTGCATACGATGGAGCATGGTTCAGGTTGAACGGTAATATTTCAATTGATCAAAATCAAATGAACCGGTTCAAAGATTTTGTGTCGTCCACGATGAACCAAGCTGCCTTGGAAGCAGCGAGCAATGCTACAAAGTTCTATACGATAAAGGCCAATTGGACCGCACTCCAGACTTTGTACGGCTTGGTTCAGTGCACTCCTGATCTTACAAGACATGACTGCTTGAGCTGTCTGGAAAGTTTCATCAATGTAATGCCTCTTTACAAAACTGGAGGAAGATTTCTTTACCCTAGTTGTAATTTAAGGTACGAGCTATTCGCGTTCTATAACGAATCCGCTGTTAGAACACAACCACAACAACAAGTACCACCACCACCGCTGCCTCCTGCATCTACTCCTCCGATGACATCTGCTTCACAACCTGGTGAACTCTTTCTTCTTGAAATTAGCATTACCAATAGGAATTTTTTGTCCTTTCAATTGATTTTAGATTTGTTATATTTTTGTTTGCCGCTATCTGATGTTAAGCTAATGATCTTTGAAACGCAGGGAAAAGTTGGTTCTCAAATGTGTTAGTGGTAGCAATTGGTGTGACTATTATAGTGGCTGTTCTAATTTTGATAGCTGGTTACTGTTTCCTTGCAAAAAGGGTAAAGATGTCTTCTGATACTGCACCAGCCTTTGATGGTAACAATTCGAATGGTTAACAATCTTAATTGGATTGAAAAATATCATTGACCAATCTTTTTAATTAATTTTTCTGATTATTAAGACTTTTATTGTGCAACAGGAGATGATATACCAACCTTAGACTCGCTGCAACTTGATTATAGAACGATTCGAGCTGCAACAAATAAGTATTCAGAAAAAAAGAAGATTGGTCAAGGAGGATTTGGTGAGGTTTACAAGGTACTATTACTATTAATTCTTTAAACTTTGTACTTTTTATTGAAACTTTGTGTCAACACATATGGATAACGAGATGATGTTGATGAAAACGAATAGGGTACATTATCGAATGGGACAGAAATTGCGGTTAAGAGACTGTCAAAATCTTCAGGACAAGGTGACACAGAGTTCAGGAATGAGGTTGTTGTTGTTGCAAAGCTTCAGCATAGAAATCTTGTTAGGCTTCTCGGATTTTCTATTGAAGGAGAAGAAAGGATATTGGTCTATGAGTATGTGCCCAACAAAAGCCTTGATTACTTTCTTTTTGGTAAGTTGCATTTATTGCTTTACTTTAGTTATTCTTTAGCCATTCTTGAAACTTGGGGACTAAGCAAAATACATGAATGCGCACACAGATCCTGCAAAGCAAGGTCAGTTGGACTGGACTCGACGATACAAGATCATTGGAGGAATTGCTCGGGGAATTTTATATCTCCATCAAGATTCACGTCTCACAATCATACACCGTGACCTCAAAGTAAGTAACATTCTCCTGGATGCAGATATGAATCCCAAAATAGCTGATTTTGGAATGGCAAGGATCTTTGGAATGGACCAAACCCAAGAGAACACAAGTAGAATAGTTGGTACCTTGTAGGTCTTCCATTTAACTTCTCATAATTTGAAGTTCTTAATCATGATTAAGTTAAAATACTAATTTTTATTGTGGATTTCAGCGGTTACATGTCTCCCGAATATACAATACATGGCCAATTCTCAGTGAAATCTGATGTCTATAGCTTCGGAGTGTTAGTTCTTGAGATTATAAGCGGTAAGAAGAACAACAGCTTCTACGAAACAGACGGAGCACATGACCTTGTCACTTATGTAAGTTTAAAGGCAATCAAGTTTTGTATTCACATCTTACAATAAGGTAATGGTTGCAAAAAATGATTTGGTATCGTAGGCCTGGAGGCTTTGGAGTAATGGAACAACATTAGAACTCGTGGATCCAACTATTGTAAATAATTACCATAACAGTGAAGTGATTCGATGCATCCATATCGGTCTTTTATGTGTTCAAGAAGATCCTGTAGAGCGTCCGACCTTGTCAACCATTTTGATGTTGCTCACTAGTGATACAGTGACTTTACCAATGCCTCGGCAACCAAGTTTTTTTCGTTCAGAGTAGACCCGAAAATAACCTGTTTGATTTTGATCAACCTATGACAAACAAGTTTGTTGCAGGGTCTATTGACAATGCGTCAATCACCTATTTATATCCTGGTTGAATATGGTGTTAACCTTTTCAAGTTAACCTTGAAAACAAGTTAGCAAATTTTGTCGTTGTGGAATTAACCTCAAGCAAATATTTACATATTTCTAGAGGTGGTTAACCCTCTTTATTGTTTAGTTTTGATTTGTATTACCTTGCGTTATAGAAACTGAAATCAAATATAACTATTTGTAATTTAATTTGGGTGTAATGCAATTTTGAAGTTTCACTTAGTTATCAGTTTGGTAATTAGTTTGCGTATACTGAATCGTTTTATCCAATTTATCACATTTTCATGATTTCTTTTGTCAACATGCATTACTATTTGCGAATTAGAATTTAGCATTTTGGTTCTATTGGCGTTCTTAGGATTTTTATTGCTTAATTCTTTTTGCTCTATCTTCTTTAGAAATTGATGTGCTGTGGATCTTTAAATCAGATTTTAATTTTTTTGCTTAAAAATTTATTACGTAGAGATATAAATTCTCAAATCTCATACTCCATTTTTGACCAAGATCATGTTCCTCCTTTTCTGTATTTGTCACATATATATTTATAAATATAGAGTATAACTTACTACACCCAAAAGTTAGCTTAACAATGAAGTATTGCTACACCTACAAAAATTGTAGAGAGATAATTGTGAAGCAGCTAACGAGTCTTCGTTTACTTTTAGATATTTTTATGATACAAAGAGATGATAGTTGTCAAGTCTTCGTTTACTTTAGATATTTGTCATATACAGAAATACCAAATTAAAGAGATGGTAATTGTCGAGTCTTCGTTTACTTAGATTTTGACTTTTTGACTATAGTATTCGCTTGGCCCAACCAAAATGTAAATGAGTCAACATGACACTGATTTTGTCTATATATTGATGGCCCACGTAACTTTCATATGTGTGTTTATAGACAGAAAGATATGCATATTTATTCATACTTGCTTGCTTTCCAAACCCAAATATCACCTGTATGATCTTGAAAATGAAATTGAAGAATCTCTTGCCAATTTTCTGGTTTGTCCTTGTAGGCTTTGCTGTTGTGTCTGCACAAGAATGTGGCAAAACAGGGTCTTTTGTACCACATGGTAGGTATGACACAAACCGGGGCCTTCTCCTCTCTTCTCTTCCTTCCAATGTTTCAGCTCGAGGCGGCTTCTACAATTCTTCGATTGGCCAAGGACCTGATCGAGTGTATGCTTTGGGGATGTGCATTCAAGGTGCTGAACCAGATGTATGCTCCAACTGTGTTGAATATGCGTCTAATCTGTTACTAAACGGGTGTCCCAACCAGACAGAAGGGCTTGCTTGGCCGGAAAGACGGATTTTATGTATGGTGCGATACTCTAATAGTTCTTTTTTTGGATCACTCAAGGCAGAACCGCATTTCTATATCCACAATCAGGATGATATCAGATCCAATTTAACAGAGTTTGATCAAGTGTGGGAAGAGTTAGCACGTCGTATGATAGCAAATACTACTTCACCATCATCTAAAAGCAAGTACTACGCAGCTGACATAGCAGCCTTGACAGATTTCCAGATTATATATGCATTAATGCAATGCACTCCGGACTTATCTTTGGAGGATTGCCATATCTGTTTAAGACAAAGTGTTGGTGACTATGAATCATGCTGCAATGGAAAGCAAGGTGGCATTGTGTACCGAGCCAGCTGCGTTTTTCGGTGGGAACTGTGGCCTTTCTCTGAGGCTTTTAGTCGTATTTCGTTGGCACCTCCGCCTCCATCCCCAGTGATTCTCTCACCTCCGGCAGGCAACAAGACAAATACAACGACCAAGAAAGGTAAGTCTTCCAATAAAAAAACAAGAACTATGTACTTAGATTTTATTCATAACATATTCGAGCTTGTGCAGGTAGCATAACAATCTCAATAGGAATCATAGGCGCAATCGTTATTCCTACTGTCATTATTATCTTCTTGGTACTGCTTGCGCTAGGATTTGTTGTTTATAGGAGGAGAAAATTATACCAAGGTGAGTTGTTTTGTTTTTTATCCATCATTCTCTTTACACTTTTGGGGTGAGGCATGCCGTGGAATGAAACAAATTTGTTATCTATCTTGTGCAAGGTCCTGAAAATCGATTTAATTGAGGGGATATTGAAAAGAAATGTTTTAAGGACATTTCCAGCATAACTCTATACTAATTATATTGCAGGATCTAGTACTGATATCACCATTACACACTCACTCCAATTCGATTTCAAAGCGATTGAAGATGCAACAAATAAATTCTTGGAGAGCAACATAATTGGTCGCGGTGGATTTGGAGAAGTTTTCAAGGTATCATTTTATAATTTCTTTGAGTAGTACCTGATCTTTAATTTCTCTAAGAAAATTTGCATAAGGAATCCAGACAATGGGATGATGATGTTTAATTCATTTTTTGTAGGGTGTCCTTAACGGGACTGAAGTTGCAATTAAGAGGCTGTCAAAAGCATCGAGACAAGGTGCACGAGAGTTCAAGAATGAGGTTGTTGTTGTTGCTAAACTCCATCATAGGAATCTTGTTAAGCTTCTCGGGTTTTGTCTAGAAGGAGATGAGAAGATACTTGTTTACGAGTTTGTCCCCAACAAGAGCCTCGATTTCTTCCTCTTTGGTATGTGGAATTGCCATATATATGTTCATGATAATTTAATTTTGATAAGCTTCTTTAACTGAAATCAAAAGTAGCTAATAACTACATTTCTATGTGCAGACCCTACCAAGCAAGGACAGTTAGACTGGAAAAAACGTTACAACATTATCCGGGGAATCACTCGAGGAATTCTATATCTCCATCAAGACTCACGGCTTACAATCATACATCGTGACCTCAAAGCCAGCAATATTCTCCTAGATGCTGATATGAATCCAAAAATTGCTGATTTTGGAATGGCTAGAATTTTTGGGATCGATCAAAGTGGAGCTAATACAAAAAAAATAGCTGGGACACGGTATATGCCTATCAGTACCCTTCATGAATCTTATCTTCGTCAGTTATAATGTCCATAATCTTGCTTGTGAATTTTACTCTTGCAGCGGTTACATGCCTCCAGAATATGTGATGCAAGGCCAATTCTCAACAAAATCTGATGTCTATAGTTTTGGAGTCTTAGTTCTTGAGATTATATGTGGTCGAAATAACAGATTCGTCCACCAGTCAGACACCACAGTTGAGAATTTGGTGACATACGTGAGTACCAAAGAACTCTGCTCTTGATTGATGATTAAATGATAAATCAACAATATGATAAATTATTGATTTAACTGTATGTTCTATTGTTCTTGATTGATATCTAAATCATGTTACAGGCTTGGAGGTCGTGGAGAAACGGCTCACCATTGGAAATGGTGGATCCAACCATTTCAGAGAATTGTGACACCGAAGAAGTGACAAGATGCATCCACATTGCACTGCTATGTGTTCAACACAATCCCACAGATCGTCCCAGCTTGTCGACAATCTACATGATGCTCACTAATAATTCCCATATTCTACCTGATCCTCAACAACCTGGATTCTACTTTCCAGATAAAAGCAACCAAGAACAAGATGGCATCGAGTCTAGCCAGTCTACGAACAAGTCCAATTCCCAAACTATCAATGATGTAACCATTACAGATCTTGAACCTCGTTAAAGTTGAGATTACATTGACCAGACATTAGTTCCATTGAAATGTTTGTATGATATGTGAGATAAACTCAATCAAAGTAAGTTTACAAATAAAGTCTATATCATTGCTACATTGTAATATCAGCTATCTGTTATGGAAATCTTCGGAATTGTATTTATAAGTCCAGAAATTTGATCATTTAACCCAAGGGACTGTTAATTTCGCTATTATTAACGTGCAGAGAAACTCTAATAGTCACGTTCTCAGTTTTACGACCCTGTAGGCAGGTTTAAGGACGTTTGACGAATTCAAAACTACAAAATTCAGTTGCTTTCTACACAAGTAAGAAACAAACATTATAGCTAAAAATCTCTTAAGGAACTATGAAGCAGAGGATTTCATTCTCAGTCCTCTGTTTTATCTTTATAAGTCTTAGTTCTTGAGATTATTAGAGATACTTATTGTGAGCAGCAAATAAGTTACCATTTTCCTTTTGCTTTCTTTTATGTCACTGTTACCAACAAATTTTAGCAATTATATCTTTCGTGCCTATATGTAAATTAATTAACAAATTAAAATGTTTACTTTTATTTTCTTAAAATAAATAGTTTCAACTTAAATGATACTAGTTGAATCATTGACCTAATAGTTAATGAATGAAAAATAAGCGTTAATTTACTTTGATTGACTTATCGTCTATTTCACGTTAAGCTACAGTAATCATAAAAAGAAGAAAAATAAATTCATTTAATAGTTAATGGCACCTTCATGGTTTGAAACCCAAATCAAGGAAGTCCAAGCATGCCTTCACGTACATCTTTCATCTTCTTTCTCCTTTTCTCCTTCCTCACTAGCTTCACAGCTTCTGCTCAAAACTTTTTCTTCTTAAAGCATTATTGTCTAAATACGACAATTTTCTCGAGTAGCAACACTTTCTTCACCAATCGCAGAACTCTTTTGTCCTCCCTCTCTTCCCCTAACGCCTCTTACTCCACCGGTTTCCAAAACGCTACGGTTGGGGAAGCCTCTGGTATAAATTAAACTTTTATGATTTCTATCATGAAATCTAATTCCCAAGATCATCTAGATTCAATTTAATTCAACCACACACTTTCTTGTAGAAGAAGAAAGACTAACCTTGATCCATTGCTTGATTAGGCTTGTAATGGAATCAATTCACCAATTGATTTCTTCTCCCCTTAATCCTTTTTCCTTTACGTGATCTTTGATGGAGAAGATCACTAATCCTTTCTATGATGTATTCCTTTCAGTTATTGTTCTGTTTTTGTGTCTCTAGAAACGAGAACAAAAACGTAACGTTTAACGTGTTTAACACCACACATATATATACATGTATATAGCATCTACCAAGGGTTGTATTGGTTCGTAATAACCACCACTTTAATAATCTATGAACATAACATATACATGTATATATATTACTTATAAAATATAATTAAGGCAAGGGAGGGAAGAGGGTTATCAATACACCCGAATTCTAATTCTTTAATCGAAACCGATCCATCACGGTATCGTCTTTAATATTAGAATTCTTAACTTTAATATAAACTTGAACTTTATAATTAAACCGAAAGACACATAGGCCACATAGAATGAAATATTCTTACATCTGGTCCTGACAGGGTCACGAGACTTTTCCTCTGTCGTGGAGACGTTACCCCAGAAGTTTTCCGTAACTGCGTTGCATTTGCCGTCAACGACACACTCAATCGGTGTCCGAATGATAGACAAGCCGTGATCTATTACGATGAGTGTATGCTCAGATACTCTGACCGGAATATCCTTTCGACCCTTACATACGATGGAGCATGGACCATGTTGAACGGTAATATATCAACTAATCAAAGTCAAATATACAGGTTTCAAGATTTGGTGTCGTTAACGATGAACCAAGCTGCCATCGAGGCAGCAAACAGTTCTAAAAAATTCTATACGATGAAAGCAAATTGGACCGCACTGCAGACTTTGTACGTACTGGCTCAATGCACTCCTGATCCTGATCTTATAAGAGTAGACTGCTTGAGCTGTCTTCAATACTCCATCAACGCAATGGCTCTTTACAAAATTGGAGGAAGAACTCTTTACCCTAGTTGTAATTCAAGGTACGAGCTTTAGGATTTCTACAACGAAACCACCATTACAACACCACCACTGCCTCCTGCATCTACTCCTCCGGTGTCTGTTCCTCCACGACCTGGTCAGAGCTCTGTCTTCTTCCTCTGTTTTTTTTTCTGCCCTGATTTGGCAAATACCAATATATCAATTTTTGTTCTTTTAACAGAATTTTCAATTGTTAATCATCTGACTTTAGCAAATAATCTTTGAAATGCAGGAAAAGATGGGAACTCAAATGTGTTACTGGTAGCTATTGTTGTGCCTAGTATAGTGGTTGTTCTGCTTTTCATAGCTGGTTATTGTTTCCTTGCAAAGAGGGCAAAGAAGACTTCTGATACTGCACCAACCTTTGCACCAGCCTTTGATGGTACAATTTCGAATGATTAACAATCTTAATTGGTTTTATTTCTGTCACTGACAAGTCTTTTGTTATTATTTCTTTTTCTGATTACTGAGACTTTTCTTGTGAAATAGGAGATGATATAACAACCATAGAGTCTCTGCAACTTGATTATAGAACAATTCAAGCTGCAACAAATAATTATTCAGAAAATAATAAAATTGGCCGAGGTGGATTTGGTGTGGTTTACAAGGTATACTATTTATTACTGATTAATTCTTTAACTGCACGTAAGGTTTTGTACCTATTTATAGAAATTTTGTGACAACGCATTTTAGATAACGAGATGATGTTGTGAAAAAGAATAGGGTACACTTTCTAATGGGACTGAAGTTGCAGTGAAGAGACTTTCAAAATCATCAGGCCAAGGTGAAATAGAGTTCAAAAACGAGGTTGTTGTTGTTGCAAAGCTTCAGCACAGAAATCTGGTTAGGCTTCTCGGGTTTTCTCTAGACGGAGAAGAAAGGGTATTGGTCTACGAGTATGTGCCCAACAAAAGCCTTGATTACTTCCTCTTTGGTCAGTTGCATTTATTGCTTTGTTTAAAGGATTCTTTAGCCATTCTTTGAAACTTGGGGATACAAATCTTTAGACTTAACTGTAATTCATGGATCTGCGCACAAAGACCCTGAAAAGCAAGGTGAGCTGGACTGGACTCGTCGATACAAGATCATTTGAGGCATTGCTAGGGGAATTTTATATCTTCATCAAGATTCAAGGCTCACAATCATACACCGTGACCTCAAAGCAAGTAACATTCTCCTGGATGCAGATTTGAATCCCAAAATTGCTGATTTTGGAATGGCAAGGATCTTTGGAATGGACCAAACCCAGGAGAACACAAGCAGAATAGTTGGTACCTTGTAAGTCTTCCAATTAACTTCTTATAAGTTGAAGTTTGTTAAACATCATTTCGTCAACATACTTAAGTTTTTTGTTGGATTTCAGCGGTTACATGGCTCCGGAATATGCAATACATGGCCATTTCTCAGTGAAATCTGATGTCTATAGCTTCGGAGTGTTGGTACTTGAGATTATAAGCGGTAAGAAGAACAGCAGCTTTTACGAGACAGACGGCGCACATGACTTGGTCACACATGTAAGTTTAAAGGCAATCAAATTTTATATTTACCTCTCTTACAACAGCAATGGTTGTAAGAACTGATTTCTTGATTAATATTCTAGGCTTGGAGGCTTTGGAGTAACGGAACAGCATTAGACCTCGTGGATCCAATTATTATAGATAATTGCCAAAAGAGTGAAGTGGTTCGATGCATCCATATCGGTCTTTTATGTGTTCAAGAAGATCCCGTAGAGCGTCCGGTCTTGTCGACCATTATCATGATGCTCACTAGTAATACTGTGACTTTACCAGTGCCTCATCAACCAGGGTTTTTTGTCCAGAATAGACCCGAAAATGACCCGCTTGATATATATCAACATACGAAAACCAAGTCTGTTCCAGGGTCTATTGATGACGATTTGATCACCGAGTTATATCCTCGTTGAATATGGTGTGTTAACCTTCAAGCTTGAACTAACTTGTACTACTGAAAACAAGTTACATATTTCTAAAGGTGGTCATACCCAGTTTATTGTTTAGTATTGATTTTGATTTTTTTGGTATTAAAGAAACTAAAATCAAATAAAACTATTTGTATTTTAAATAGATTGTGTGTTGTTTGATCAATTTTAAATGTTTGAAAACATGATTCTGTTATCTTTTATCAACACGTTCTTGAAAAATGATTTGCTATGCAAATGCAAGTGATGAAAATATAACTAAAAAATGAAAAATCGTTAATATACAAATACAAAACTAAAGTCATATCGCTCTGCATTAAAATTGCTTTAACCTAGATATCAATTTCTCATTTCTCATCCTCCATTTTTGACCATCATTTTCCTATTTTCATCTGTAAATTACAAAAAAAACTGTGACTTTTCCAAAAAACTTCCCAACAGATGGTAATTAGTAATTGTGAAGCAGCTAATAACAAATTGTTTACGTTAGATTTTAACCTTTGAGTCTCGTTTTACGACCGTATATACAGGTTTAGGGCCGGGACCAAAATTCCTGTTTAGAAAGCAAGACCAAGCTTATATTAATTCATTCAACCGGTGAATTAGGTTTGATTTCATTTCGAAGGAGAATGTATTACGTGTTCTTCTTGGTACCACATGTAATTGCAACAATTTTTTTGGTACTACGGCTTTACTTAACCTACATTGTAAATGAGTCAACATAGGAGATATTGATTAGTCTATTGACTTGGAAATGTTCAACGACATACATTGATTAGCTTTGCTTGTTTGTCGTCGTTGATATGGTCAGAATATTAAGTTATTTGAAAAATCTTCTCACCGATTGAGTCAGTTTTTACTTGCAAGCGGTCTCAAGTCTTTTAACGAACAATGAAGCAGAGGAATTTCTACAAAATCCTCTGTTTTATCCTCATAAGCTTTGGTGTTGCTTCAGCTTCAGATGAAACATGTATGAACAATGGGAATTTCATATCTATCAGTACTTACGACGCAAATCGACGCCTTATCCTCTCTTCTCTTCCTTCCATTGTCACGGCTCAAGACAGCTTCTTCTACAACGGTTCCATCGGACAAGAACCAGACCATAATTACGCAAGAGGGATGTGCATCCCAGGATCAACTTCAGATGACTGCTCTGAATGTATCAAGACCGCGTCAGACACGGTTTGATACAGAGTTGTCGTAACCAAGCAGGTGCGTTTACATAGCGAGGTGAGCCCACACTTTGCCATGTGCGCTACTCCAACACCGCTTTCTCGGATATATCTTCAGAGCTGTACCCGTTTACTGTGGTCAACAACACTGGAGATATCAATTCAAATCTAACAGAGTTCACGGCTATATGGGAAAACTTAACCGCTCTTATGATTGTTGCAGCCTCCACAGATAAAGGCTTACCGTCGTCTAGCAATAACTATTACAAAGCTGATGCTGCAGCCTTGACACCTTCCCAGAATATATACGCATTGATGCAATGCTTGCCGGATCTTACTTCTCTATCTCATGATTGTGAAAATTGTCTGAAACAAAACGTAGCTGACTACCAGTCATGTTGTAGACAGAAGCAAGGGGGTGTTATTATGCGGGCTAGCTGCTTTTTCCGTTGGGACTTGAAAACATTCTCTAAGGCTTTGGAAATATCACGGTGGCTTCTTCTCCTCCTCCGCTGCAACCTGTCAAGATATTCAAAGTTAAAAACGGAGCTGTTGTGTCAATTGTTGTTCCCATTGTAGTAGTCGCCTTCATCATCATCATTTTAGTATTGCTTGCTCGACGATATGCTCTACTTTGCTGGAGGAAGAAAGAAAATCAAGAGTTTGATTTTGATCAATGTGAGTGTTGTTTACATGCTTTTCTTTGTCCTCTTTTCTTTTAGCATGTATATATAGTCTATGAAACTAGTTGAGAACATTTATTACAACACTCTCAGATGGTGAAAAGTTGTCGTTGGTGATATGATATCAGATAGTGTGTCTTTAACTTGATTATGCAGCTGGTATTACAACTCTACACTCCCTCCAATTTGATTTAAAGACAATTGAAGATGCAACAGATAAATTTGCAAGGAGTAAAAAGCTCGGTCAAGGTGGATTCGGCGAAGTTTTCAAGGTACAGCGTAATTTCTGTAGCTACTTGGTTCATTACTTCTCTTGAAAAATTTTGGAACTACAGAGTCAAAGTAAGCTGATCATATTGTCTCACTGATATCATTTACAGGGTATGTTGCCTAATGGAACAGAAGTTGCAGTGAAGAGGCTATCAAAATCATCAGCACAAGGCGGACAAGAATTCAAGAACGAGGTTATTGTTGTTGCAAAACTTCATCATAGGAATCTTGTAAGGCTTCTCGGGTTTTGCGTGGAAGGCGAAGAAAAGATTCTTGTTTTCGAGTTTGTTCCCAACAAGAGCCTCAATTACTTCCTCTTTGGTCAGTGGAATGACCATCTTTATATGCATTCATGGGATTCTATCTGATGCGATTGAAATGTGTATGCTAATGACTATGTACTGTATGTGCAGACCCTACAAAAAAAGGGCTGTTAGACTGGAAAAAACGGTACGACATTATCAGGGGAATTACTCGAGGAGTTCTATATCTTCATCAAGATTCACGGCTCACAATCATACACCGTGATCTCAAAGCCAGCAACATTCTCCTAGATGCCGATATGAACCCGAAAATTGCTGATTTTGGCATGGCGAGAATTTTTGGGATGGACCAAACTCGAGATGAAACACGCAGGATAGTTGGGACACGGTATATTTGTTCACGCAGGATATGGCCTATGTACAGGATTTTCAAGAATCTCCTATTGGCCAGTAATGACTTAATACTGTTTGTGTTTTACTATTGCAGCGGTTACATGCCTCCAGAATATGTGATGCATGGCCTATTCTCAACAAAATCTGATGTATATAGTTTTGGAGTATTTGTTCTTGAGATTATATGCGGGCGAACTAACAGATTCGTCCACCAGTCAGACACTACAGTTGAGAATTTGGTCACATACGTGAGTACCAAAGACGAACTATGTTATTGATTGATGATTAAATGATTAACCAACAACTATGATAACTTATGGTTGTGACTTGTGACTTGTGACTGTATGTTCTTGATTGGTAACTAATTATGTAAATTATGTTACAGGCTTGGAGGTTGTGGAGAAACGGGTCACTACTAGAACTCGTGGATCCAATCATTTCAGAGAATTGTGAAACTGAAGAAGTGACAAGATGCATCCACATTGCGCTGCTATGTGTTCAACACAACCCCACAGATCGCCCCAGCTTGTCGACAATCCACATGATGTTCACTCACAATTCCCTTTATTTACCTGATCCTCAACAACCTGGATTTTTCTTTCCAAATAGACGCAACCAAGAACGAGATGGCCTCGATTTTAGCCAGTCTACGAACCGGTCCAATTCCCAAACTATCAATGATGTAACCATTACAGAGCTTTATCCTCGTTGAGGTTCCATTGAGACATTGGACCTGTTGGGATTCTTTCTTCTGATAATTGATGTATAATAGTATCCAAACCGGTCCTACATATTAGGCCACCTAACCGTTTCAGCGAAAGATTTGTGAAATTTTGATATGAATGGAAAACCCAACCCGGTTGATTTACTAAACCGATAGCATGAAAACCGGAGATTGATGGTTCATTTCATTTTCTCTCGTTTCCGAGTCAGCTATTGCGAATCCTCTGTTTTCGCTCACTCTGTTTAGGGATCCGTTGATTGCTGCTTTTGCAACTCAGTTACAAGGTAGATTGCTTTGAATAAACAATTGGTTTCATGTAAGTAAATTACTCAATTTGTAGCAATCGTTTTCCTCATTTATGTAATTGTCATATATAAAAGTTGGAGGCAATGCCATGATCAAATAAATACCAAAGAGATAATAACTCTGAAGTAGCTAATAAGTCTTTTTTTTTTTTGGTGTGTAGTAGCTAATAAGTCTTTGTATTTTGTCTCATCTTCGTCTTTGATAGTTAATGTTTCTGATTTTTCCAAATCAATTGACGAAATTTCATTCACGTATCATTTTCCTATCACTTTCTTTATGTAACCTCGTCTGAATTTTCTTTGGCTTTTCTCATCGCAAAATCCTCTTCTTCTTTTTTTGGCTCGATTGTGATTCTATAACGTGTTCTTCTGGTTGCCACATGATTCATTCATTATAATAGAGATTGGTTTATGGACCACTTGCAATGGAAATTTAATCGACACATATGTGTTAATGGACACTTGTTTAATTTGCTCAACTAACTCAAACAAAATCTGCATGATATAAAAAAAATGAAACTGAAGAATCTCTTGCCAGTCTTGTGTTTTTTCCTGTTAAGCTTTCCTGTTTTGTCTGCACAAAGATGCGGGAAAACTGGTTTCTCTATACTTGATGATACGTTTGATACAAACCGTCGCCTTCTTCTCTCTTCTCTTGCTTCTAATGCCTCAGATCAAGGCGGCTTTTACAGTGCTTCGGTTGGGCAAGGATCCGAGCGGGTGTACGCTGAAGGGTTGTGCATACCAGGTGCTGAACCAAAGGATTGCTCAAACTGTCTCAACCATTCTTCTAATAGCGTGATTGAGAGATGTCGTAACCAGACAGAAGGCCTTATCTGGTCTGACGACGTGATTCTTTGTATGATACGTTTCTCCAACCGTTTGTTTTCTGGATCACTGGAGATTGAACCAAGTTATGATCTGATCGTTAATGGAGATATACAAGTAAACTTGACCGAGTTTGATAGATCGTGGGAGGATCTGACTAGTCATATGATAGTTGAAGCTACTTCATCGTCATCTCAACGCAAGTACTACGCAGCTGAAGCAGTGTCTTTGACATCTTTCCAGAATATTTACTTATTGATGCAATGCACTCCGTTCATATCTTTGCGGGATTGCAACACTTGTTTAACCCAAAGTGTCACAGACTATAAATCATGTTGCTATGGGAAGAAAGGTGGCAATGTTAATCGTCCTAGCTGCTATTTCAGGTGGGAAATTTATCCCTTTTCTCAAGCTTTTAACAATACTTTGTCACATCCAGCTCCACTCCCACCATCTCGTACACCTTCGGGAGGCCACAGGACAAACACGAACAAGAGAGGTAAGTTGTCTACTGGTATGACATTATTTAGAAGAAGGCTTGAAACATATTCAAATATTAGATGATTTGTGTTTCTTTGTGTCAATGGTCGCCTGCTATTCGGGCTTATGCAGGAATTATCGTCGGAATCACTGTTGTTCTCGCCTTGGTGATCAGTGTGCTGCTTGCTCTAGGGTATGCTCTTTGTAGGAGACGAAAGGCGTCTCAAGAATTTGCAACTGAAAGTGAGTTCTTCATGATTTGGCTCTGAGACAAATTTATGAGTTCAGGGTATAAACGTTTTGAGATTAGTTGTCATCTATTCCTCTGTTCTTCTCAGATGGTCATATTTCTCTTACAGGGAGCTCAATGACGAATTGCGGTACTGCACCACCAGATGATGGTAAGAGACTGTCTCTTTGAGCCAAAACTGTTAATACAACATAACACCATGTATGATTTCAGCTGCAGATGATATTGCAACATCAGGTTCACTTCAATTCGAATTTAAAGCTATTCAAGCTGCAACAAGTAATTTTCAGAAGAGTAACAAGCTAGGTCATGGTGGATTTGGTGAAGTTTACAAGGCATAATTTTCTTAAACTTTCTCAACTACTAGTTTGTGTTATAAACTCATGTTCAAAAATGAGATAAGAAATTCTGATAGTGAGTGAAGATCATATGAATTGACAGGGAACGTTTCCGAATGGGATAGAAGTTGCTGTGAAGAGGCTGTCTAAAACTTCAGGTCAAGGTGAACATGAGTTTAAGAACGAGGTGCTTCTTGTAGCAAAGCTCCAACATAGAAATCTCGTTAGACTTCTCGGGTTCTCTGTCGAAGGAGAAGAAATGATACTTGTCTACGAGTTTGTGCACAATAAAAGTCTTGACTACTTCCTCTTTGGTATAAGAAAAAACTGAGAGAATTATATTTTCTAAATCTTGTTTATTGATTTCATAGGCATATTCTAATAATGGCTCTATACATTGGATGTGCAGACCCTGTAAAGAGGGGTCAACTTGATTGGAGAAAACGCTATAACATTATCGAGGGAATTACTCGAGGGATTTTATATCTTCATCAAGATTCACGGCTCACAATCATACATCGTGACCTCAAAGCGAGTAACATTCTCTTAGATGCAGATATGAACCCGAAAATCGCAGATTTTGGAATGGCAAGGAATTTCAGAGTGGACCAGACTGAAGACAATACAGGAAGAGTAGTTGGAACATTGTAAATAATCGTCCATTTCACTAACATTCTGTCTGTCCTTTTTTTTTTCCTGATAAAACTAAAAGTGATATGTGCTGTGTTTTGCAGTGGTTACATGCCTCCCGAGTATGTGGCGAATGGGCAGTTCTCGATGAAATCTGATGTTTATAGTTTCGGAGTATTGATTCTGGAGATAATTGTTTGCAAAAAGAGCAGTAGCTTCCACCAGATAGATAGTTCAGTAGGCAACCTGGTCACATATGTTAGTACTAAAAAGCCAATGCAAGCTCCAACTTCTTTTTACTCTTTTAAACTGTGACCATGGCCCTAAACTTTGGTTTCTTGATAAATGACTTACAGGTTTGGAGGCTTTGGAACAATGGATTATCGTTGGAACTCATAGACCCGGCCATAGGGGAGAATTATGATAAAGATGAAGTCATTAGATGCATCCACATCGGGTTATTGTGCGTTCAAGAAAATCCTGCAGATCGTCCAACCATGTCCAATGTTTTCCAGATGCTCACTAATAATTCAATCACTCTGCCCGTTCCTCAAACACCTGGATTTGTCTTCACGGTCAGATCCGAGCCAAACCCATTAGCTGAGAGATATCAGCCTCGTTCGTCTACTGCCATTTCGTTTGCTTGTTCCATTGATGATGCATCGATCACGAGCGTCAATCCTCGTTGAAATTAGAGGTTAATGATAATATGTAGATGATCCTTTCGCAAGCCAAAACTCTAAATAGTCACTCATAATTAATGTGCATAAAAAATCACGTTTTGATGAAATTGACAAGAGCAACAATTACTACATGACGCGCACACATTCTCTGAATCATCTAAAGAAAAGAAAAAATAGGGAAAGAAGAGAAACTCTGTTTTTTTTTTTTTTTTTTTTTTTTTTTTTTTTTTTTTTTGGAGCCATTTCTGTTTCTATACAACATTGTGGAACACTACAAAATGGTCAGAGTCTATAGCATGGTGATGCTTCTATAAACCCTATAACCCCTTCATATCTTGTGTGACTACGATATGCTTTGTGAGTTCTATAAAATGGTGTACATTTTTCGGTTACTTTTTGGGTTTCGTTTAACATGGGATAGGTTATCACCCTGGGAACGTGCTACACAAGTAACTGGATCCAAAAAATCATAGGAGACTTGGGAGTTTTTGGGTTCAACGGTTAAAACATATGGTTACGAATGATGATGAAATTCAACGTTTGCCATTATCCCAAAACCATTGACTTTTGTCGCGGGCCCGTTTCACGCCGTATATGTTCAACATGGTTTAAGGACCACAGTTATCAGTTTTGCGAATTCAACATTTTGAAAATTGCAGAGAAACTTCTATTTCTTTTTTAGTAAGTAAGATTTTGAAACAAAAAACGCGTAAACACAAAAGACAAAGAATTAGCGATTTAAAAAAAAGAAAATAAGAATTGGGGATAATGTTTTAAGGGAATAAGACTATGTGATGAACGCTTAATTGTATCTAAATCATTACCTGTAAAGTTCATTATTCAGGTCTTATGGGCGAATGGAGATGGTGTGCTAGGTTTATAATAGGACCTAAGAAAACTTAGAGCTCACGAAACTAAGGACTCTGAAAGAAAAAGAAAAAAGAAAAAAGAAACCAAGGACTCATCAGGAACTGGTGGTTTTAAGGGATTTTTCTAGGGTTTTGCTACGCAATTTCGTTTTGTTAAATTTGGGCTAATTCTGGGCTTCCAACTAAAAACCAATTGGCAATTAGTGGATTGGCCCTAACCCTTTATATATTATTGGTTGTCCCATCAAACTTCCGATGTGGGACTTGGATTGTATCTCCAACAATCTCCCCTTCAATCCAAGGACCATATGGATCTAACACGCCTCATCGATCCCTCACTCGGATCGATAATAAGCCCCTTTCTCGGACTCCCATTACTCGGGTTTGAGGTATGTCCGTATCCACTTTTCTAGGTCCACCAGAATTTGAACCTTGGGCTCTGATACCATGTTAAATTTGGGCTAATTCTGGGCTTCCAACTAAAAACCAATTGGCAATTAGTGGATTGGCCCTAACCCTTTATATATTATTGGTTGTCCCATCAAACTTCCGATGTGAGACTTGGATTGTATCTCCAACACGTTTGTAGCCTTATGGCATTTGCGACGTGTTTTGATTGCTTTTTGGTTTTATAGGTAAGAAATTGATTATGAAAAAGCTAAGTAATTTGTCCGCGGATGAGTGTTAATGGTACCTCGCCCCCAGCCTACTGGCCTAGTGCATATCTACATTATTATTTGAAGGATATAAACATAATAATACTGTATGAACAGAAAAAAAATGAATTATGACTTAAGATTTTCATCTTTTGTTTTGTGACATTTTGAAAGTTTCCGAGAAACAACAATTGCTGCTTAAATTGGTAAGACATGAACAGAGGTTTACACACTAAAACAAAGCTAAAATCTTTAAGGCAAAATGAAGCAGAGGAGTTTCTTATCAATCCTCTGTTTTGTCCTTCTAACCTTTGGTGTTGCTTCTGTTTCAGCACAAACATGCATACAGAACCGTAAATATTTCATACCCAACGGTACATACGATTCAAATCGTCTTCTTCTCCTCTCTACTCTTCCTAACAATACCGCGTCTCAAGATGGTTTCTACTACGGTTCTATTGGAGAAGAGCAGGATCGAGTCTACGCATTAGGGATGTGCATCCCAAGATCAACTCCAAGTGACTGTTCTAATTGTATCAAGGGCGCGGCAGGCTGGTTGATACAGGATTGTGTCAACCAGACAGACGCGTATTATTGGGCACTTGATCCAACGCTTTGCCTTGTCCGCTACTCCAACATTTCTTTCTCAGGATCTGCAGCTTTTTGGGAAACTACACCGCAGTATTTGGTCTTGAACACTGCAACTATCGCCTCAGATCTAACAGAGTTCAAGACAATATGGGAAGACTTAACATCTCGTATGATTACTGCAGCCTCCGCAGCAAGAAGAACACCATCATCCAGTGACAACCATTACAGAGTTGATTTTGCGAACTTGACAAAATTCCAGAATATATATGCATTAATGCAATGCACGCCAGATATTTCTTCTGACGAATGTAACAGCTGTCTCCAACAAGGCGTACTTGAGTACCAGTCATGCTGTGGAAATAATACAGGAGGCTATGTTATGCGGCCAATCTGCTTTTTTCGGTGGCAGCTTTTTACATTCTCTAAGGCTTTTGATAACATTACCCTGGCTACTCCTCCTTCTCCTCCTCTTTCTCCTCCTCCACTGCAACGTCCTGTGGTTGCGTCACAACCACCTTCTGCCAAGGACCGGCCCAAGACTACAGACAATAGTAAGTCCATGCAAAGTTATGACTTGTTCAAAGATTCTGCAGGGAGAGGAAATATCTCAATGAAAACTATTGTAGCAATTGTTGTGGTTGTTTTAGTCATTGTCATCATCTTGGCACTTCTCGCTTGCCGGTTTGCTCGGAAAGGAAAACCATATCAAGAAGTTGAACTTAATCAAAGTGAGTGTTGTTCATTTGATTTTATTTGGCCTTTTAGCAAATATATAGTATATAGAACTATAACTAAGACAATTTATTACACTGTAGCTGGTATTACAACTGTACGGTCCCTGCAATATAAATTTAAGACGATCAAATCTGCAACAAAGAAATTTTCAGACAAAATCGGCCAAGGTGGATTTGGAAGTGTTTTCAAGGTATCATTTCTTTAGCCACGAACTAAGTTCATGACTTCTCTTGAAAAAAAAAAGGAATTACAGAGTCAAAGTAATCTAAAAATTGAACTTACAGAGCCATGTTGACGCATTGATGTTATTTGTAGGGTATGTTGCCTGATGGAAAAGAAATTGCAGTGAAGAGGTTGTCAAAATCATCAGAACAAGGTGAGAAAGAGTTCAAGAACGAGGTTGTTGTTGTCGCCAAACTTCAGCATAGAAATCTTGTTAGACTTCTCGGTTTTTCTGTCAAAGGAGAAGAAAAGATACTAGTGTACGAGTTTGTGCCCAACAAAAGTCTTGATTGTTTCCTTTCTGGTAAGCTTACATTTTCTAAAACCTTTGTTCTTAATCTTATAGTCTAATGGGTCTATATGAAATTTGCAGACCCTATAAAGCAAAGAGAGTTAGACTGGACAAAGCGGTATATGATCATTGGAGGAATTGCTAAAGGGATTCAATATCTTCATCATGGTTCACGGATCAAAATCATACATCGTGACCTCAAAGCAGAAAACATACTCTTGGATGGTGATATGAACCCGAAGATTTCTGATTTTGGAATGGCAAGGATCTTTGGGATGGATCAAACTAGAGCTAACACAAGAAGGATTGTTGGAACTGAGTAAAATGCTTTTATTACCCTTGATAGCTTATGAACTGAAGTTTCAAGAATCTTTTCTTCACCAATGTTACAATTAATCTTGCAGAGGTTATATGCCCCCAGAGTATAGGATCGACGGGCAATTCTCAATGAAATCTGATGTGTATAGCTATGGAGTCTTAGTTCTTGAGATTATATGCGGCAAGAAGAACAGGAACTTCTGCCCTCCGGCTCCAAATTTGGTCACATACGTGAGTACCAAGAAAAAATCAAATCTTAGAGTATGATCCTATCTAGTTGTTGGTTGATGATTAATTTATGTTACAGGCTTGGAGGTTATGGAGAGACGGGGCACCATTAGAACTCGTGGATCCAATCATTTCAGAGAATTGTCCAACCGAAGAAGTGATAAGATGCATCCACATTGCGCTCTTATGTGTTCAAGAAAATCCTACAGATCGTCCCGACATTTCGATAATCATGTCGATGCTCACTAGCAATTCCGTCATCTTACCTGTTCCTGAACCACCTGGATTCTTCATTTCAAATACACAATACCAATCTACGAGGAGGTCCAATTCCCAAACTATCAATGATGAAACTTGATCCTCGCTGAAGATGATGTTCCATTGAAACATTGAAACTGTTGTAAGTAAACTATATTTTCTGGTATTTCAGTTTGAACTGTAATGAATTATTCAAAAGTTATGTATGTGTAAATTGTGAGATACTCATCAAAGTAGTTATGTACACTTTTAGCATTTTCTATTTTTTACATTCTTATACCAGCTCTTTGTTATAAAATCCTTGTATGAATTTTATCAATTTACTTACTTAACCGGTCCTCTCTAGCCGGGGCTCACTCAATTTGATGCTTATCTTGGTTATAAAATCCGTAGATAGTTGCTCAAACATTGCCTTCAATCACTTTGATGCTCACTAGTAACACAATTACTCTACCAATGCCTCAAAAACCAGAGACCTGATCAAGACTTTGTAGCCTGTCCTACTCTGTTATACTCTGTTCTTAATTAACTCAAGTTTTAGAACAAAAAAAATTGTTTCAAAAAGATTTTCTAAAACTTGAATTATAAAATAAAATATTAAAATCCTCTAAACTGTTTTTTTTTTTTTTTTTTTTACCTGTATCAATATACCAATCCAAACCGGTTTATTTAGTTAACCGGTCGTCGACGTCTTCTTCAGCCGGGGCTGGAACGCGTTTTGGGAATTTTTTCATTAAGGGTTTCGCTTTCAGATTTAGTGGCGATCTAAAGTTGATGGCTTTTCGATTCCAACTATATTTATGGGAATTAGGGTTTCATCTGTTAGTTATATGCTTGCAATTGACGATTTGTTGCTGATTACTCTGTTTCATCGAATCAAAATTCTCCAACTTTCCTTTTTTCGGAATCATGTTCTTCTTGTCTTGTTCTTGTCTGATATCGTCTAAATATTCTTTACATGAATTATTTATTCAAAGACTTTTCGACGATAATGCCAGTGGCAATCGTTTAGTAGTTAATGTAATAGACAGGACCAGTGATGGGTCAATATCATTCCTTTCGGTCCCATTGCAATTTGCAGATTAATGTCAATAATGCTACTAATGTGCAATCCTCTCTGTCAAAAATTGGAACTTTATGAGTGAAGTCATTATAAAGTGACAATGGACTCACATGTATGCAGACAGATCCTCCAAATCTTCGAAAATGAAACAGATGAGTCTCTTGTGGTTTGTTCTTGTTAGCTTTAGTGTTGCTTCTGCACAACCATGCGTGAACAACGGGTTTTTTAGACCCAATAGTACATATGACATTAACCGTGCTCTCGTCCTCTCTACTCTTGCTTCAAATGTCAGGGCTCGTAACGGTTTCTATAATGCATCGATTGGCCAAGAACTTGATCGAGTGTATGGAGTGGGGATGTGTATCCCTGGCGCTGAACCAGAGCTGTGCTTAGATTGTATCGAGAAGGCGTCTGACGGGTTATTACAGAGCTGTCCTAACCAAACAGAAGCCTTTACATGGTCTGGTGGAGGTAAAACTCTTTGTATGGTACGTTACTCCAACCGTTCATTATCTGGATCACTTGATATGGACCCTCCTTCAAAAGGGTACAATGATGGGGATATCAAATCTAATGTAACAGAGTTTAATAGAATTTGGGAAGAGTTAACGCTTAGAATGATAGTCGAGGCTTCTACAGGCAAGGATGCATCAATATTGTCTAATCATAAGTACTATGCAGCCGACATAGCAGCGTTGACAGCTTTCCAGAATATATACGCATTAATGCAATGCACACCGGATTTATCTTCGACAAACTGTAAAACCTGTCTGTTGAAAAGTGTTGGTGACTATCAAACCTGCTGCCATGGGAAGCAAGGTGGATATGTATTTAGGCCAAGCTGTATTTTCCGGTGGGATCTGTATCCCTTTAACGGGGCTTTTGATCATATTACATCGACAGCGCCACCATCATCTCGTCCAGCACCTCCGCCTCAAGTGCCAGCTTCTATGGAACTTACTAAAACCCATAAAGGTAAATACTTCAATACCAAACTTTGATTGCAAGAAACTGTCAGAACATAAAGTTTGTCTAGTGTACTAAAAGTTGGCCCCAAGATTTGAAGATGAGACGGTTTCAGAACAATATGCTTTTTTGTTTTTCTCAGCGTGTAAATTGTCTTCTATGTTTGGCTTCCACAGATAATAAAACAATCTCAAAAGGAGTCGTCATGGCAATTGTTGTTCCGGCTGTAATTACCTTCTTGGTATTGGCTGCTCTAGGATTTGCTGTTTGCGGGAGGAGGAAGTCATACCAATCACTTGATCGTCAGAGTGAGTTGTTTCACACGTTTTTCATCATTTACTTTATCCTTTTTTCCAGATATATATGGTCTGCGTTTGCAGATTCTTGGTGGATTTTAAAGTGAAAAGACCTATACGTTCCTGTATGCAGCTGGCATTGATATTACAACTACACATTCACTGCAATTTGATTTGAAGACAATCGAAGCTGCAACAGATAAGTTTTCAGAGAGGAACAAGATTGGTCAGGGTGGATTTGGAGAAGTTTTCAAGGTATATTTTCTTAGACTTTCTGCTTTCTTTAATCTCCTAGAGAGTTTGGATAACACATCCAAGTGAAGTTATATTCTTTGTAGGGTGTGCTTCCAGACGGGACAGAAGTTGCTGTGAAAAGGCTGTCAAAAACATCGAGTCAAGGCGCACGAGAGTTCAAGAACGAGGCTGTTCTGGTGGCAAAGCTTCAGCACAGAAACCTGGTTAGGCTGCTTGGTTTTTGTTTGGAAGGAGAAGAGAAGATACTTGTCTACGAGTTTGTACCTAACAAAAGCCTCGACTACTTCCTGTTTGGTGAGTCCAATTTAATACATATATTGGGAGAATCATAATGATCCCTCATAATTAACTTGTGTTTCAAATGATTTTATATTTACATACAGATCTTTCAAAACAAGGCCAGTTGGACTGGAAAACACGTTACAATATCATTGGCGGGATTGCTCGTGGAATTCTCTATCTTCATCAAGATTCACGACTCACAATCATACACCGCGACCTCAAAGCGAGTAACATTCTCTTAGATGCTGATATGAACCCAAAAATTGCTGACTTTGGAATTGCAAGGCTTTTTGAGATGGACCAAACTCAAGCTGAAACGAGCAGGATAGTTGGAACCTAGTAAAAAAATTTCCCTTGTCTGCATTTATAACTGAAGTTTGAATTGCAATAATTTTAGGATGGACAATACTCTTGTTGTGGGTGAAGTTATGTTTTTTTTTTTTTTTCTTGTTCTGCCAGTGGTTATATGCCTCCAGAGTATGCAATGAAAGGTCATTTCTCTGTGAAGTCTGATGTCTACAGCTTTGGAGTCTTAGTTCTTGAGATTATAGCCGGCAAGAAGAACAATGGCTTGGACCAGGACGGCAATGCTAGAAACTTGGTCACATATGTGATTACCGAAAACCAAATTTCAAAATTTCTAACTTACTGTGAGGATTGTGAGCGGTAATGGATTTTGGTTATTATGTTAGGTCTGGAGGCTTTGGAGAGAGGGTTCACCATCAGAGCTCGTGGATCAGTCGGTTGGAGAGAATTATGACAGCAACGAAGTTACAAGATGCATCCATACCGCGCTGTTGTGTGTTCAAGAAGATCCTGCAGATCGTCCTACCTTGCCTTCAATTATCTTGATGCTCAGTAGTAACACGATTACTCTACCAGTGCCTCGACAACCTGGATTTTACTTCCAGAGTAGACGTGATGATTTTGAGGGATTAGAACCAAGTCAATCTACAGGAAGATCGATTCCTTATTCTGTGTCGATAACTGATTTAGATCCTCGTTGAAGATGGAAGCATTCTCTGTGTGTAAGTTTTGAGTGATGCTTCTACAGTAATATCTTATTTTGTGTGAGACTTGAATATTCATGTGAGTTGTGTGAGAACTTCTGTTTATACTGTATCTACCTATTTGATGTGACTTGAATATGCATCTTAAGTTCTGTTTTACTACACTTTTGCTGAAATCAGACGGTTAGTTTAATATCTACCTGTGTTAAATAAACCGTAAACCAAAGGTACGTATTAACTGATGATCTTACCCTCGCTCTGAATCAGCGTTTTGGCGCATTCTCTTTTTTTTTTTTTTCTTGTTCTAACTTGTTTACTACGCCTAGACTAAACAGAATTTGCACACTGCAAAAGACTTTGCCTTTTGACTCTCCTTTGACTACCGTATAAGCAGGTTTAAGAACCATTTTTATCAGTTTGACGAATTCAACATTAGGATATATCAGAGAAGCTATAAATGCTGTTTAAATAACCAATACAAAACTATAATCTTTAGAGAACAACGAAGCAGAGCTGCAGAGGAGGACTTTGTTTTCAATCCTCTGTTTTATCCTCATAAGTTTTGGTGTTGCTTCAGTTTTAACACAAAACATGCATGAACATTAGTACTCTCAGACTCAACGGTCATAAATATTTATGACGCAGATCGCCGGATCATTGAGCAGATTGCAAATAAACTTAAGAATAGTTTTAACTTAATAAACTATGAATGCACAAATTTTTATGTCAACAATTCATTGCAACATGATTGAAGTTGAAGCTGCAACAAACAGATTTCAAGGTGAAGGTGGATTCGGCGAGGTTTACTAGAAAATTAACTAAGTTTCTATTTATAGGTTATGAATATACATGTAAAACTCGGTAAATTAGACGGATTCGGTTTGCATTTACCGGTATACGAATGTTTGTTTACCCAAACCGGTTGATTTACTAAACCGATACCATATGAACCGGATTACCGACCGAAAAAAAGTAACTAAGCTCATCGCCTTTGTGCATTCCCCTGAGCTCGGGATTCAGAGTTTAGCATTCAGGTTTTAATGGCGTTTTATGATATTGGTTTTCGGATTTGTTTGTGCTCTTCTGTTGTTAGATTTTCGATGTGTTTAATGGCATAATCACGATATGGCTGTGCTCGGATTTAGGGTTTAACTGTGTTTTCCGTCTCCGAGGCTTTTAGTCGGTATCATGTTGGCACTTCCGGCTCAATCCCCATTGATTATCACACCTCCGGCAAGCAACAATACCATTACAAAGAAAAACAAAGGTCAGTCTTCCAATTGCAAAACTATAATAATTACTTGTCTACAGTATCTAAAGAAGGCTTTTAACAAACAGTGAATGAACTATGTATCTTGTGCAACATTCTGAAAATCGATTTTTGAGGGGATCTTGAAAAGAATTGGTTGATTTACACAATCCGATGGCTGTCTTGAAAAGAAGCATATCAGATAAAGCTGAGCTGGGGATGGCAGGGAATATATTGAATTCTATTTGGAATCAATTGTTGCTGTTGTTGCTCACACTAGTGGCTCTTTGCTACTCTGTTTCAGCCAATTACAACATGTTCTTCTGGGTTCGGCGTGATTCATATGTACGCACGCATTCTTACATGAATCAACCCAAGAGACACTGATTAGGCTATCAATTGGGCAAACAGGTCTAAGCTAGAACAACAAAAAGCCGGTTTATTTGTGACACTGACACTTTAGCCCCAATACTTTTCTGGTTCGATGAATACTCTTTCCTTATGTCATTTTCTGAGTCAACATTCCAATATTCAACAACCCTTGTTATATATTACGTGAACAAAGAAACTATTATTGACTTTTAACTTTGACTTTTGACACGTATTTGTGACCATATTTGTAGGTTTAAGGACCACTGTCATCAATTTGACGAATTCAATTTTGGAGAGAAGCTTCGATTTTGCTTGTTTAAACTGGTAAGAAACGTACATATGCGTCAAACACTAAACACAGAGATTTTTCTTTTGCTATAATCTTGAAGAAACAATGAATCAGAGGAGGACTTTGTTTTCAATCCTCTGTTTTTTCCTCATAAGCTTCGGTGTTGCTTCAGTTTCAGCACAAACATGCACGACGGACAAGGGGACTTTCAGACCCAACAGTACTTACGACGTAAATCGCCGTCTCATCCTTTCTTCTCTTCCTTCAAATGTCACGGATCAAGACGGCTTATACTACAACGGTTCCATAGGACAAGAACCGAACCGTGTCTACGCAGTTGGGATGTGCATCCCGGGATCAACTTCAGATGACTGTTCTGATTGTATCAAGAAAGCGTCTGATGAATTTTTAAATAATTGTCCTAACCAAACAGAAGCGTATTCATGGCCAGGTGAGCCAACGCTTTGCTATGTGCGGTACTCCAACACTTCTTTCTCAGGATCTGCAGATCTGGACCCGCGCGTACTGCTCTTCAACACTGGAGTTATACGCTCAAATCTAACAGAGTTCACGGCAATTTGGGAAGGACTAATGGGTCGTATGATTGCTACAGCCTCCACAGCAAAAAGCACACCATCGTCTAGTAATAACCATTACTCAGCTGAAGTTGCAGCCTTGACAACTTTCGAGGATATGTACGCATTGATGCAATGCACGCCAGATCTTTCTATTCGTGATTGTGAAAATTGTCTGCAGCGAAGCGCAGGTGACTACCAGTCATGCTGTAGTCAAAATCGAGGAGGTGTTGTTATGAGACCAAGCTGCTTTTTGCGCTGGGATTTGTATACATATTCTAACGCTTTTGATAATATTACGGTAGCTTCTCCACCTCCGGAACCTCCTGTGACTGTGCCACAAGGCCCCCAACCTGCAGGTGATCAAGCCAACACGACCGACAATGGTTAGTCTTCCAACTGGAAAAAAAAACTATGATTGTAAGTAGAATTGAAATATATGACATTGTTTTCTTGTTTTATGAGAAGATAGCAAAGGAATCTCAGCTGGAGTTGTTGTGGCGATTATCGTTCCCACTGTTATTGTCATCTTGATACTGCTGGTTTTAGGATTTGTTCTTTTCCGAAGAAGAAAATCCTACCAAAGAACTGAGATTGAATGTTAGTTTCTTTGTGTTTTACCTCTTTATTCTTTCCTTTTGTTATCAGCATGTATACTCCCGTAGCCAAGAGGGGAAACATGAAACTAATACACCCATTCTTTGCAGCTGAAAGTGATATTTCAACTACCGATTCATTGGTATACGATTTTAAGACAATTGAAGCTGCAACTAACAAGTTTTCAACAAGTAATAAGCTTGGTGAAGGTGGATTCGGTGCGGTTTACATGGTAAGAAAGTCTCTGTTTCCCATTTTTTTAAAGTTCATATTGGTTATGAAAATAACCAACGATGTTTGTTTCATTCAATCGTACGTAGGGTAAGCTTTCTAACGGAACTGAAGTAGCTGTGAAGCGACTGTCGAAAAAGTCAGGACAAGGCACAAGGGAGTTCAGGAACGAGGCTGTTCTTGTGTCAAAACTTCAACATAGGAATCTGGTTAGACTTCTTGGATTCTGTTTGGAAAGAGAGGAACAGATTCTGATCTATGAATTTGTCCACAACAAAAGCCTTGACTACTTTCTATTCGGTATGGTTCCCGTCAATAGTTTTTCTTATTCAAAGGATCCTTCTTCAGCTTTATACTGATTGATTGTCGATATGTGCAGACCCGGAAAAGCAAAGTCAGCTAGACTGGACCCGGCGATACAAGATCATTGGAGGAATTGCTCGAGGGATTCTATATCTTCATCAAGATTCACGGCTCAAAATCATACATCGTGACCTCAAAGCCAGCAACATTCTCTTAGATGCGGATATGAACCCGAAAATTGCAGATTTTGGATTGGCAACTATTTTTGGAATGGACCAAACTCAAGGAAACACCAACAGAATTGCTGGAACCTAGTAAGTTCTGCTCATAGTAGCTGAAAAATAAGCAAAGTTCACTGAACCTTCTGCTATTGCATATTAACGAGTTGAATGTTTTTCAGCGCTTACATGTCTCCTGAGTATGCGATGCATGGTCAATATTCCATGAAATCTGACATTTACAGCTTTGGAGTGTTAGTTCTTGAGATTATAAGCGGCAAGAAAAACAGCGGCGTCTACCAGATGGATGAAACTAGTACTGCAGGAAACTTGGTCACTTATGTGAGCATAAAGACCTCAAATTTCAACAATTTAACATTTCAAAACATATGACCAAGGTTCTTAATTGTTCATTGTATTAGGCTTCAAGGCTTTGGATGAACAAGTCACCATTAGAGCTGGTGGATCCAACCTTTGGAAGGAATTATCAAAGTAATGAAGTCACTAGATGCATCCATATCGCGCTCTTATGTGTTCAAGAAAATCCAGAAGACCGTCCAATGTTATCAACAATCATCTTAATGCTCACTAGCAACACAATCACTCTACCTGTGCCTCGCCTACCGGGATTTTTCCCACGAAGCAGGCAACTGGAACTGGTATCCGAGGGACCAGAGTCTGATCAGTCTACAAGCAAATCTTTTCCTCTTTTAGTTCGTAAAAAGTGATGTGGTTGAAACACATAACAATGGTCAGATGACGTTTGATATTTTTTATTTACGGACATAAGAAACATAGTAAGTTTATCTGTAATTGTATGTTGTACACTGTAAAATGCTTATGGCCAGTTCTGTAATAATCGTTTCTTTTTTACTGGTTTACTCTCTTCAAGCAATCAAATTCTCTGCGTGATTGTTGTGAAAGCTTAATTTGGAGGTTGTAATTATCTTATACTTGCTTGTGGTTACAATTACAATACAAACGTTCTGCTACAAAAGAAGTTTTTAACTTATTTTCAATACCAATAGATTCAGGAATCAGGTATGAAGGTACTCATCTTCATCGAGGATATACATCTGTGATGGATGCATCGTCAACAGACCCTAGAAGAGATTTGCTCGTTGTATCTGTATCAAGCGGGTCTTTTCCAATTCTACTCTGAAAGAAAAGACCTGGTTGCCGTGGCACGGGTAAAGTCACAGTATTACTAGTGAGCATCAGAACAATGGTTGACAACGTCGGACGCTCAGCAGGATCTTCTTGAACACATAAAAGACCGATATGGACACATCGAACAACTTCACTCCTTTGGCAATTATCTACAATAGCTGGATCCACGAGTTCTAATGGTCTTCCGTTACTCCAAAGCCCCCAAGCCTAGAATATTATTCAATCAATCAATCAATCCAACACTTGCAACTATGTTCAGGTAAACATGGAACTTGATTGGCACAAAACTTACATATGAGACCAAGTCATGTGCACCGTCTGTTTGGTAGAAGCTGCTATTCTTCTTGCCACTTATAATCTCAAGAACTAACACTCCGAAGCTATAGACATCAGATTTCATTGAGTACTGACCATGCATTGCATACTCGGGAGACATGTAACCACTGTAACCCACAACAAAAACTATGTTAATAAAAGAATGTTCAGAAAATTTCAACTTATGAGGAAGACTTACTAGGTACCAACTATTCTGCTTGTGTTCTCTTGGGTTTGGTCCAATCCAAAGATCCTAGCCATTCCAAAATCTGCAATTTTAGGATTCATATCCGCATCCAAGAGAATGTTACTGGCTTTGAGGTCCCGGTGTATGATTGTGAGTCGTGAATCTTGATGAAGATACAAAATCCCTCGAGCAACTCCACCAATAATCTTGTATCGCCGAGTCCAATCCAACTGACTCTGCTTTGCAGGGTCTGTACACATCCATAAATCACAGTTAGCTCTAAAGACTTGTAATCCCTAGTTTCAAGATTGGTTAAAGAATCATTGAAACAAAGCATTAAATGCAACTAACCAAAGAGGAAGTAATCCAGACTTTTGTTGGGTACATACTCGTAGACTAATACCCTTTCTTCTCCGTCTAGACAAAACCCGAGAAGTCTAACCAGATTTCTATGCTGTAGCTTTGCAACAAGAACAACCTCGTTCTTGAACTCTGCTTCACCTTGTCCTGATAACTTTGATAGTCTCTTCACCGCAACTTCAGTCCCATCCGATAAAGTACCCTGTTGTTTTCATCAGCATTATCCCATTATACATATGTGTTCACACAAAGTTTCAAGAAGAAAAAAAACACAGCTCAAGGGAACTGTAATTACCTTGTAAACCTCACCAAATCCACCTTGACCAATCTTATTACTCTCTGCAAAATCATCTGTTGCAGTTTGAATTTTTCTATAATCAAGCTGCAGTGAGTCTGCAGTTGTAATATCATCTCCTGTTGCACAATGAAAGTCTTAGAAGCAGGAAAAAGAAGCTGAGCTTTGACATTAATCAAAATTCAAACCCAAATAAAGATCGTTCATCACTTGAAATCTTTACCATCAAATGCAGATGTTGTGTCATAAGTCTTCTTTGCCCTTTTTGCAATGAAACAATAACCAACGATGAAAAGCAGAACAGCCACTATAATAGGCACAACAATGGCTATCACTAATACAGTTGAATTCCCACCTTTCCCTGCTTTCCAAAGATCATTTGCTTAAGATCAGACAATGACAAACGAATAGCAAATCCAAATTAAGTCAAAAGAAGCAAAGTTGCCTTATTAGTATTGCTCATATCAAGAAATCAGGGCAGAAAAACAGAGGAAGAGATTAGATCATGTAAGACACATAGCAGCAAGTTAGCAACGCGAAATTCTGTCGAAAGAATGAATATTTTTATATATTTTTGTCAATTTCGTTGAATTACGGCAAAAGCTAACAGAGGAAATGGACAGAGCACTGACCAGGTCGAGGAGGAGCAGACACCGGAGGAGTAGAAACCGGCGGTGGAGGTGGTGGTGAAGGTGTAGTAATGGCGGATTCGTTGTAAAACGCGTAAAGCTCGAATCTTGAACTACAGCTCTGCATCATAAATCTTCCCCCAATTTTATCAGTGGGCAATTGATTGATGCTCTGTTGAAGACAACTCAAACAGTCTTGTCTCGTCAGATCAGGAGTGCACTGAACCAGTCCGTACAATTTCTGCAACGCAGTGAAGTTGGCTTTTCTGGCATCAAATTTTCTGGAATTGCTGGCAGCTTCAGCGGCGGCTTGGTTCATCGTGGTCCCGACCAAATCTCTGAATTGGTCTAGTTGGTTAGATGTAACATTCTGGGGGTTCCACATAAACACTCCTCCACCGGTGCTTAGGGTTGAGAGTATGTTCCCGTTAGAGTATCTGAGCATACACTGGTCGTAGTAGATTGTGACCTCTTTCTCATTCGAACACCGACTTAAGGTGTCGTTTACAGCAAAGGTGACGCAGCGACGACAAACTTCCGGCGATAAGTCTCCACGGCAGAGGAAAAGCCCGGTGACTCTGTCGGGAGCTTGCCCTGCGGTGGCGTTTTGGAAACTGGTGGAGTATGAAGCGTTACTGGAAGAGAGAGAAGCCAAAACGGTTCTGAGATTGGTTAAGTAAGTGCTGTTTCTTGAATACGTTGTCGTGTTCGGACAGATTTGGTATAGGAAAGTGTGATCTTGATCTTGAGCAGAAACTTTGAAGCTAGTGAGGAAGGAGAAGAGGAAGATGAAAGATATAAGAGAAGACATAACTGGGCTTTCTTGATTTGTGTTTCTCATCAAGCTTTTGGGAAGGAAACTCGGTTATATGAAATAAAATTGAATTTTTGTTCTCGCTGTGACTAGTGTCTAGCGTGAAACAGAGGATGGTTTTGTGACGACGAAAAGTCAAGGTCAAAGTAAACGCGTCTTGTATTGAATTGTCCTGTCCTGCCCAATTTGTCTTCAGCTAGCTACTAATCCATTACTAATTTTTAAGAGATAATTAGCTCAGAGATAAGGGATCTGAGCTTAAATTAGTTTTTGATAAAATCTTGTCGGGACCTAAAACAATTGCAACATTAGTCCATTATCTTTCCGTTTTTAGCCTCACTCGCTAAGAGAAATGCAACAGTTTTTTTTGTTTCTTTCGAGACGAATATGCGTGTATATGTATATTTGTCAAGCATTTGTTGTTCTATTATAGATATACATAGATCTACTTAGATCCACATCTCTACTTTATAGATCTGTATTTTGATGTGCATCTTTTTTTGTAGATATCTATTTATTTTCTTTTATTCCCACTTGATGTTGATACATAACTTACTGTTTAATTTTTTTACTGTTTAGAAATATGGCTGATCTGGAGCTTTTTTCCCGATTGTTTGCCGATAGAGAGGACCTCCTGGCGATAGGGTGAATATGTACTTCAAGCTCAATACGATCAAGGTTGTGTTGAAAGCTCTTACACCTAAAGAGAATGAAACCATTAGGCCTTACTTTGGAAAACTTCTTGATGTCTACTCCAAACTTGTCTTCTCTGGCAAATTGGCTCACTTTCTGTTAATCCGATAGCTTAATGTTGTCAAGCGACAAAATTCAAAAGTTTTTCCATGTACTTGTTTTCATTCCATTGCTTTCACGATTAAATAGTATCTAGTTTTTTTTTGTGTTTTTCTCGCTTCCCTCACTAAATTTCGTCTCCATATCCACAAATCTATTTAGATCCGCAATTTTTTAATTATTCCTGAGTTTAGATATTCAACTTCCCCTGTAGATCTATATTTATTCATGTATATTTTGTCAAACATCTATTGTTTGTTTTAGATATCCACAAATCTATTTAGATCTGTATCTATTCATTTATATTTACCAAGCATATGTTGTTTTATTGTAGATATCCACATATCTACTTAGACACTCTGCAGGTTTGCATTAAATGGAAGTCGCCTCCTTCCTTCTGTCACCGCAGCAAAGACGACGCAGCTACGGCAAACTTCTGTCGAGAGATCTCCACGGCAATTAAAAAGTCCGGTGACTCTGTCTGGAGCTTGCCCGACGGTGGCGTTTTGGAAGCCGGTGGAGTAGGAAGCGTTGCGGGAAGAAAGAGAAGCCAAAAGGGTTCTGAGATTGGTGTTGTAAAGGCTGTTACTCGAGTAATTTGCCGTATTTGAACAGATGTGATATACGTAAGTGGGATCTTGAGCAGAAACTCTGAAACTAGTGAGAAAGGAGAAGAGGAAAAGGAAGAAGAAAGAGGCGTAATAAGACATTACTGGGGTTTCTTGATTTGTGTTTCTTCTTCTCATCAAGCTTTGGGAAAATTCTGATATATGAAACAAATTTGATTTTTTGTTCTCTCTCGGTGACTAGTAGTGACTACTGTAGATAGCGTGAAACAGAGGTTGGTTTTGCGACGACGAAAAGTCAAGGTCAAGGTAAACGCGTCTCGTATTGAATTGTCGGGTCCTGTTCCACTTGTGTTCAGTTACTAAATGTCTAAATCATTACTAATTTTTTAATATGTGATAACAAAAAAAAAGGAATTGGCAAAAAGATTTGATAAATGGAAAATTAATTTGTATAGCTAGAAGCCTGGAAGAAATTATAACAAAATAAAAACCTATTTCAAAATTAAGAAAATTGTCAAAACAGTCAAATTTAAAACATTTTAACTCTAAATTTAAGCTTTAAACTCTGAATTCTCAATTTTCTTGAGTACTTTGTTGCAAAACTACATTTTATTGCAAAGAAATAGACAATCGGCAGTTGGGATTTTCAGAACAAAATAAATGTAGCTGCTGGCATGGTTTCAAAGATCTTAATTACTAGTAGTAGAATTTAGATAGGATACATGAGAGAAACTACTAGTATAGAATTTGTTTCGTATACTCTTTCTTGAATAGAGAATTATTGAAATTAGGAATCGTTGTTGACTATTCTTCAAAAAAACATTGTGGGGCTGAAAATTTGTCGCCACTGATGCTGGAAAGTTCTTAATATTCCACATGACATCATAATTCCATTCTTGATTCGTGTTTTCACCCAAACATGAATCTACAGCATATAATTTTTTTTTTTACATCATACGAATGTTATTTGTTTAAAACGAATTTTGCATCCGTAAGGTCCATCTAATTGCAAAGGTGTTTTAATTTCTATGAGTTTATATGAATTTGAAATATTTCCTTTTTGGCATTCACATATACATAAAGAAAAGGAAAATAAAACAAGAAATACAAAACAGAGAAGAAAAATTTGAGAAATCTCTTCTTTTTGGTATTATATAGGTTCTCATGTCCAAGCACAAAACGTTAAAGGCAGCGACGCTGCTCCGTAAGGCTGCATGATACGGGCTTATGAGACCTCCGCCATGACTTCTTCGTGAAGAAGACAATTGGCTTTGTTAATCTGTGACGTATACTTCAGGGTTCTACAACCATTAGATCCTATTAGATCGGTTGCCCCTTTATCAAGTATTTTTCACTTTTTCCCTCGTTTAAACAAACACAAGAAACGTATTCGCATGAAACATACGGAAGAAGAATAAGAAACTAGGATTTTAATGGAACTATTGGAAAGAAAGACTAATCCTAACTTAAGAAGCCAAACAATTATTTACATGCACGAATAACCTAATATATAATGGAAGAATTACGTTACGAAACCTAGAAAGAATGTGAGGTAGACGAAAAAGGGGAGGATATGAGGAAGATGAGATGACCAAACCTAGAGGGTGTTGTGTATATATATATACACATGACTTATGCGGTGTATGTAGCCAAAACCCTAGCTAGTTCTTTTTATTTTATTTTAATGATTATTCAAAACCCTAGTCTTTAAAAAGTACTAATTCTTTTCCGTAACCGCCAAGGAAAAACAATCGGCTTTTTTCATGCAACAAATCTCGTTAAAATTGGTTATGGGCCTGCCTATGAGAATGGAAGCCAGAAGAGGACTCGGTCAATGCTTCGAGAAAAAAAATGCTTCGAGAACATTTGCGTGATATATTGGGCCTTCTTTCCCAAAAGCCCAATTTGCATCATGATTCTTCAATCCATCGACACACATATCTTCTTCGTTCTCGTTATTGTCGTGAGAGTGCTGCTCATGTGCTGCAGACAAATTGAGAAGGAGACACTTGGAATTTGTATCCACAAAAGCCACGTTCATATTTTTATGTGATAATAGCAATTTAGTTCTGTTATTTTCAACACAAAAATCCACCTCCTGCATTCTCTTTGTACTAAAAGCTCCATTGGTGAAGAAAAAATCAACGTGATCTACGACACATATGTCTTCATCGTAGACGTCATACACCGGATCACCAATAATATCCTTGTAATTTCCAAACAAGTCTTCTCTTGACATAAATGAATATTCATCGGTTTGATAAAAACACCCGAACGACATGGTAAACGAAGAACCGATTCGGCTCTAATACCAACTGACGTAGCGGAAGCTTTAAGGATAGATTACGAAAGTAATCTTGAGTATTAATGGATCTCAAGCAAGACAATTGTAGCTCGGAATTCTAGTGTTATCGGAGATCAATGGATTCACGATAAACAAAGACTTCGTTTGAGAATACTCCAAATGATGGAGCGGAAGCTTCTAGGGATAGAACTAGATCCGTTGATTCTGAGAATACCCGGAAACTAGGGTTTGAGAGTCCTCCTCTCAGAGTTTTCACAAAAGCTCTTAGATTGTGAATACTCTTCACAGTGTTTATAAAAACCTCTTTAAATCTTTCGATTAATCAATTCATCAATAACTTAATACAATAGGAGACATAAGAAGGCTATTTATAATAAAACATAAAAACCCTAAAACTTAGAATATTCTAGAATAATTATAATTAATAAATTAAAAGATAATATAAATAGATATTTAGAAATATTCCAAATATCTCGCTGCATCAGGTCTCGTCGGCCAAGAAAAGATTCGTCCTCGAATCTTGTTTCTACGCTGCATCAAAACTTCTTCAGTTGATTGGAAAAATCAGAGGCAATTTATCAAAGACAAGAGAAGCTAAACCTAATTTTCAGACCAAAAATAAAATAAACGAAACTGAACCTATTTTTTCAAATTTTAAAGAACACGTCAAAAAAGAGCAAAACGAATCAAGGTATCCTAGAGCGCCATTAGAACCAAAATGCTAAAATGAGTAAATTAACCAATTTATAGAAATTCGTTTTATTTCGACAACAACAAATGGTTTTTAATGGTGGCATGAAGAGAAGATAGGATTAAATCCAAAACTTATGACCAACTTTACAAACAACAAAAGATATCAACGGACAAAATGTTACCCTTAATTTGTATTTAAAGGTTCCCAGTTTCCAATCTTTAAACCAAAATACACATCTTATTAATATAGGCCACAAAAAATTTCATACCATTATATGTTTTTTTCTTCTATTTACTGAGAGAATAGATTTGCTTTGGAGACAATTTTTAGATATTTTATTACTTCTTATAGAAATTTTGTTCGTTATACATAATGTTACAAACTCTTTTTTAACAAAAAAAAAGTATTGTCCACAAATTATAGGAAATTGGAAAAAAAAAAAAAAAAAAAAAAAGAACGAAACAATTTATAGCTAGGATCATATAGGAGACAAAAATATAGATTATCCTTGACTTAGTCATTAGAGATTATCCTTGACTTAGTCATTAGAGGAAATGTAATTCAACGTTGATTTGGATCGAAAGAAGCGTGAGAGACGACCATATATATGTCCACAAGTCTATAGGTGGTTGGCATTTTATGGAGACCAATAAACTTTAGAATTGGCACTATTGCAAGGGGCCGGGAAACAAGTTAAAAAGAAAAAACCTCTAACTTTTGTGAATTTGCCAAACAAATTCTATTAGATAAGTTAAAGAGAAATTAAAGGAATATTAAGGTTTGTCTTTAGTTCAACTGCTTTCACTAATTTTCATTTTATCTGAGTGCCCTGCAAAGAAGTGTAAGATATACTCTTGTTTATAGCTTTATTCACTAGAGAATGAAGACAAAAGGGTTCAGAGAATTAATGGCGTAATTGTTGATTCTTCGACAGTAAGTTTGTTCTGCTGGAACAGAGTGATTCTGAAAATCTAATACAGAGTTTGTAAAGATAACAAGGTAAAGTACTTTTGTGCAAAAAAAAAAAAAAAAAAAAAAACAAGGTAAAGTACTATAATAGGAAGTCAACGACTATAGAAGTCAACCTTCCACTGTGAGTGTTAATTGGTTTTGAAGAAATGAAGGGTTTTTTAGCAAAGTAGACACTTTTAGAAAAATAATTTGCAAAGTAGGTAGTTTTTTTAAAAAATAGAGAAATAGACACTTTTTTTACTTTTTGTGAGATATAACTTTTGTCTAATAGACTAAAAGACAAAATAGTTATCAAATACTAAAATATCCCTTATCTTGAGAGAGAATAAACAAAATATGAGGGACCACTTTTATTTTGTTACTTTCTTCTTTATCTATTTGGTTCTTTTTTCTCCTTGAATTATTATTTTTAAAGAGAATTTTTTTTTAATCACCTGAATTATATATTTTTTTGGCACTATTCTCATACACAAACATTTAAAAAATCGTTTTGTACACTAACACTTGTACACTAAATCATCTTGTACACCGATATTTCATAAATCATCAAGTACACCGATTTTCTTGTACTTATAAATTGAAGTAATAATTGTTTAGAATATTTGTACAAATATGGTGATTGTATAAACCGAATGTTATATTTAATATGATGGTGTACATGATGGTGTACACAATTAAATTACTTTTGATGGTATACATAATGATATAAACCATTATGATGTACGAGATTGGTGGATGGAATTGTGTACACAAGTTTTAAATGACAGCATACAAGACTGGTAGATAAAGTGTACAAAACTTGGTGTACAGTACTTATAGGGAATGTATAAACCATTATTTCAATTTAATGGTGTACGTCATCTCGTACACTGATGTTTGTACAAAATATGTGAAGGTGTACGATGTTGTAGAGGGCACACAAGGTGGTGTATGGTGCGACCCACTATCTCATCATTTCATGTACATTAATAATATTGTGTACACCGCACTTTACATCATCATCGTACACCATCGTATTATGTAGTTATACACCATTATAGATTATCATTTGTACACCATCTTGTGCACTATCATACTCTGTATACCACTTTCTAAACTCAGTATCATATATTACTTCTTATATTCTTGATGTACACTACCGTTTGTACACCACCGTTTACATTATTACGTACACCGTCGGGTTAAGATTAAATAATAAAAAAGTGTTACGTATCCGCAAATATAGCAAAATTAGACATTTTAAATTCACATAAATTTTTTAAAGATTAAGATGTTGTTGTAATAATTTATTTTTATTAAGAATTTATAGCAAAACAAATTAAAAGTATTTAAGTGAAAATAAGAAAGAGAAAAAAGAAAATCTTTGACTATAAGTCAATTTTGTCATTATCTAACAAAACAACAAAACAAGAAAAGGTTATATAAGTCATTTACTAAAATCTCTATTACACAAAAAAGTTGTATTAGAGAAGAAAGAGAAAAGTGTCTATTATTCTAATTTCTAAAAAAACTACCTACTTTACAAATTATTTGTTAAAAAAGTGTCTACTTTACATAATTTCTCAGAAATGAAGGCTAGAATCTGAATCAACTAGGGTTGTGAAAATACTGTTTTAGCTTACAACTGTTTGTTTGTTACTTGTCTCGTACGGAAGTTTAATGGTGTTGTCTTATTGACCCAGATTCTCCGCGCGTAGCAGAATAATCATCAACCTATTAAATATTTAACTCCATTACGTTTATCATTCTGGGAAGTAGAAAGATTTATAATTCGATTTTCTCTGGTTATCGCTTTCACATGTTTTTAGTCTAACATTTAAATAACAATAAAAGTTGATGTTACTCGTATAGTTGACTTTGACTTTCATGAAATTTGTATTAGAACACAAAACTTTGACGTGGTGGATGGTTTAACATTTTCATTCATTGGTATTATTTAGTAGTTTAGTACGCATGAACCAGTAAAGATAACAAGAAAGAAAAAAAAAACAGAGGAGAAAGGATAACAAATTAATTAGATAATGTCTGCTTATACCTCATTAAACTCTCTCTTCCTTCTCACATTTTTCTTTGCAAGCTTGAGAGCTTCTGCACATTTACAGGACCTGACTTACGTCGGCCATAGTTGCAGTAAGACGACATCAACAAACATCACTTACTTCTCAAATCTCCAAACTCTTTTGACCTCTCTTTCTTCTAACAGTGCTTACTTCTCCTTGGGATCTCATAGTCTTACAAAGGGTCAAAACGCCAGCATGGTATTCGGACTTTATCTCTGCAGAGGAGATCTCTCGCCGGAAGATTGTGGTGATTGTGTCGTAAATGCTTCTAAAGACGTTCGAAGTAGATGTCTACGAGGGAAAGAGTTCTTGATTCAGTATGATGAGTGCATGCTTGGATACACGGACCGGAATATTTTCATGGATGCTGTAACCACAAGGTCCACTCCTACAATAATCACTTGGAACACTCAGAATATTAAGGCGGACTTGGACCGGTTTAACGATACTGTGTTTTCTCTGATTAACAAGTCTGCAGTGGAAGCTGCTAATAGCAAATCGAAGAAATTCGCGGTTATTAAATCGAATTTCACTTCGTCCCTGACGGTATATTCATCGGTTCAGTGTATTCCTGATCTGTCTAGTGGAGAATGCTTAAGCTGTCTCCAACAGTCCATCAATGAAATTTTTTTCACCAAAGTCGGAGGAAGAGTTCTTGTCCCGAGTTGTAACTTAAGGTACGAGATTTACCCTTTCTACGATGAAACCTCTGTGAAAACTCTCTCTCCATTGCCGCCGGTTTCAGCTCCTCAATTGCCAATAAAGATTCCTCACCCGGTTTTAGCTCCTCCACTGCCGGCTGGTAAAGGTGCTCTCTCTCTCTCTCTCTCTCTCTCTCTCTTTTTCTTTCATTTGCTTGATTGGAGTGAAACAGACAACTATACAAGATTTGTCTGATCTAATACTTTGTCAGGAAAAAGAGGAAATTCCACGAGGGTAATCTTAGAAATTTGTGTGCCGGCGGCTTTCTCTGTTCTTCTTTTTGTGGCTGTATTTACCTTCCGTTTGACAAAGAGAGTGAAGAAGACTAATGACACAGCAGTTGCAGATGAAGGTAGAGATTCCAAAATACTCTTGTTGTTTACTACTTAAATTTTTGGTTTATGAAGTTTAATGCTAAAAACATTTGGTTTTTGCAGATGGGGATGATATTTCAACGGCAGGCTCTCTGCAGTTTTGTTTTAAGGTTGTTGAAGCTGCGACAAATAAATTTTCAATATGTAACAAACTCGGTCAAGGTGGATTCGGACAAGTTTACAAGGTACTACCAGTTCATTGAGCTTCCTAATTACTTTCATAAGAGATTCAAACTCTGTTTAATTCACAATCTTTTTAGGGCACACTTCCTAATGGAGTACAAGTTGCCGTGAAGAGACTATCGAAAACATCGGGACAAGGTGAAAAAGAGTTCAAGAACGAAGTTGTTGTTGTGGCAAAGCTTCAGCACAGAAATCTGGTCAAGCTTCTTGGATTTTGTTTAGAGAGAGAAGAGAAAATACTTGTCTACGAGTTTGTGTCTAATAAAAGCCTTGATTACTTCTTGTTTGGTAAGTTAAATCAATGCTTAGCAAAATATATTTTATTGTTGACATTCTAACTATATGGATGTGCAGACTCTAAAAAGCAGAGCCAGCTGGATTGGACTACACGGTATAAGATCATAGGAGGAATTTCTAGAGGAATATTGTATCTCCATCAAGATTCACGACTCACAATCATACATCGAGACCTCAAAGCGGGTAACATCCTCTTGGATGCTGATATGAACCCGAAAATTGCAGATTTTGGAATGGCGAGAATTTTTGAAATGGACCAAACAGAAGCCAATACGAGAAGAGTAGTTGGAACCTAGTAAGTTTTGTTCTTGACAACTATTAAATGTTAAATCCATTTGTTAACTCAAACTTTTATGCATCGTGGCAGTGGTTACATGTCACCTGAGTATGCCATGTACGGCCAATTCTCAATGAAATCTGATGTCTATAGCTTTGGAGTCTTAGTTCTTGAGATTATAAGCGGGAGGAAGAACAGCAGCCTTTATCAGATGGATGCTTGTTTGGGAAACTTGGTTACATATGTGAGTATAAACACTTCAAATATACTACTTTTTCGCTCTATGAAACAGTCACAAGGATTTTTTAAGTCTTAAAATGTGCTATAGACTTGGAGGCTATGGACCAATGAGACGCCATTAGAGCTTGTGGATTCGTCCTTTCGAACGAATTATCAAAGAAACGAAATAATTAGATGCATCCATATCGCCTTATTATGTGTTCAAGAAGATACTGAAGATCGTCCAACTATGTCAATGATCGTTCAAATGCTTACTACTAGCTCGATTTCCCTAGCTGCACCTCGACCACCTGGTTTTTTCTTCCGAAGTAAGCATGAAGAAGCAGGTCCATCAACAAATAAATCCTCTCTCTGTTCCATTGATGATGCATCCATTACCATGCTAACTCCTCGTTAAATAACTCGTTTCATAAACTAAAAACTATTGCAATTCCAAAATTTACAGTTTTTGCGTTCATATTAGAATCTATGAAAATGCTACTAGCTTTGAGGTCACGGTGTATGATTATAAGTTGAGGTTTATCATAAAGACGCTTCCTCGAGCATTGGCTCCAATGATGAGAATCAATCTGTCCCCTCATTTTGAATGGTCTGCATATAATTAAATAAAAATGTATAAATAATATACAACCAGTCCCATCAATGTCTCTTGGGTTGACTCTTGTGTAGATTTTTGTTGAGTCAACCGCAGATTGTAACAATTTTATCGCACGCTATAAAGTCCCGTAGGGCAGAGATTCACAATTGGAACAAACAAATACGAAATGGTCCACAAGGAGAAAAAACTAAAGAAAATCAGACGAAGTCAACATCAAGAAAGCGAGAGCAACCACTATCGTAGACGAATTAATTTTTTTTTTTTTTTTAGACGAATTAATTAAGTTTGTGAGGAAGAGAGTTGGTGTAGCTTGAGACACGTTTCAATCCCTTTGCTTTCCTCTTAGTGTATGTATAGTCTTCAGAGTTTGACAAGCCTCTTCTGGCTATGAAAATCTTTAAGAAAGCCTTCTTTGTTCTATGATATAAAGTAAATTATCAGCTAATAAATAAGGTAGATTACCGTTAACCCTAAACCCTAATTCTCATTTAAGATTTAAAGAAACCCATGATTGTTTATAGCCTGACTTCCCATAAAAATGGAAAGCAAGAAAGAGATGTGAGTCAATTATGATTGTTAACCATTTTTCTCTGTTCAGTTATTACGTGCCCGAGAAGTTAGGGGAACAATGCTCTTATTTTCTTTTTCTTTTTGGTAAAGGAAAACCTCTTTTTTCTTAAAAGAATGCTCTTATATATTTTCTTCTGATTACTCTCCATGCAAAGCCTCCAAAGTCCAACAGAATGATCATCAATATATTTCTAATTCGTTGAATTTATCAGAACTAGACGGTCTTTATATTAAGGGTTTTGTGAAAAAACATCATCCAACTCGTCAACTCGTCAAAATAATACGCAATATAACCGTAAACGTTTTCACGATCACATACATTAGATTTTTAAAATTCTAAAGGTAGAGTTAAAATCCTTGTCGTGAGTACTTTCGATTTCACATATCATTCGTCAAAATTTCACAAACTTAGACGGTAGTGAAAAAGGGTTACATTGAATATTATTTGACGGTAGTGAAAAAGGGTTACATTGAATTTTATTTTTGACTTTGTATCATTAATTTACATTTTTTGTAAGTGAAGGATAAAATTGCAAAAATCGGCGAGTTGGAGGTTTGTTTTGCACAAAACCATTATATTATGTCCACAAAATTAATTAAAGGTATTAAATCACAAAAAAAAAAAAAAGTTAATCAATTAAAGGACTTGTATACACCAAAGAGAAGATAATTTGGATTGAAATGAAGACTAGTATATACAACGTAACTGAAATCGGAATTTACTATTTTTCCAAGTTCTTTAGGATCGGAGCGTCTGAAAATTTAAGAATGCATAATCGAACCAATAATTAACGTAAACGTCATGAGATCCGATTATAAAGAAAAACTCACTATTAAATCAATACAAAACATTAAATAGGATTGGCCACATTTAGAAATATGTTCTTTTTTTTTTGATACCCTATCGGTTGATCCGGTCAGCTCCGGTAGAAACGCACCGAAGTGCTTTAGAGTGGACTTCTCCCCGAAGGGCCACCACACTGTCTGTACGGAGTTAATTTGGAATGCTTTCCGACTAATGCCAAGGGGTAGCGAGATCGCCTGTTACTGACTACCAGGTAAACTGCCTAGGCCTTTGGCCAAGCCCAGACTTCCCACACAAATGTGTTTTTTGTTTGCAGGGTGGATCGAACCTGGGTTAGTTCCTTCCAACATAAGCTTAAACTTAATTTCAATTATACATTAATACCAATTGATCTTTAAGCGTGAAGGTGAATACCATATTCAACGAGGAGTCGAGGATATAAATCACTTATAGATGTCTCGTCAAAAGATACTGGAAAAGACTTGCTCGTTGTTGATTTATCTGAATCAAGCGGGGTGTTTCCGGGTCTACTCTTCACGAAAAAACCCGGTTGCTGAGGCGCTGGTAAAGTCACAGTATTATTGGTGAGCATCACGGAAATCGTTGACATGGCTGGATGCTTTACAGGATCTTCTTGAACACATAAAACACCGATATGGATGCATCGAACCACTTCACTATTCTGGCAGTTATCTACAATGATTGGATCCACTAGGTCTAATGCTGTTCCGTTTCTCCAAAGCCTCCAAGCCTAGAATATCGTCAATCAGTCAAACAATTATTGCAACTATTGCTTTTTGTAGGATGAGGAGAGGCATATATAAAAATCATTTCCTTTAAACTTACATGTGTCACCAAGTCTTGTGCGTCATCTGTCTCGTTGAAGCTGTTATTCTTCCTACCGCTTATAATCTCAAGAACTAACACTCCGAAACTATAGACATCAGATTTCATTGAGAACTGGCCACGCATTGCATATTCAGGAGACATGTAACCGCTGGAATCCACATCAAAACTTTACTATGTTGTCAAAATAAAATGTTCAACATGTGAGAACTGAGAAGTCAAGTGGAAGACTTACTAGGTACCAACTATTCTGAGTGTGTTCTGCTGGGTTTGATCCATTTCAAAGATCCTTGCCATTCCAAAATCTGCAATTTTAGGATTCATATCTGCATCCAGGAGAATGTTACTCACTTTGAGGTCACGGTGTATGATCGTTAGTCGTGAATCTTGATGAAGATATAGGATCCCTCTAGCAATCCCACCAATGATCTGGTATCGCTGTGTCCAGTACAGCTGACTTTTCTTTGCAGGATCTGTGCACATACGTGAATAGTAGCTCTAAAGATTTGCAACCTCATGTTTCAAGACTAGTTAACGAAACAATGAAGAAAATCATCAAATGCAACTGACCAAATAGGAAGTTATCAAGGCTTTTATTTGCCACATACTCATAGACCAATATCCTTTCTTCTCCTTCTATAGAAAATCCGAGAAGCCTAACCAGATTTTTGTGCCGAAGATTTGCAACAACTGCAACCTCTGTCTTGAATTCCGCGTCACCTTGTTCTGATGTTTTCGAAAGTCTCTTCACTGCAACTTCGGTTCCATTTGAAAATGTACCCTATCCATTTTTATTTATCATCATTATCTCGTTATCCAAATTTGTTGGAACAAAAAAAACAATCGATAACTTATATAGTATATAATATATACCTTGTAAACATCACCAAATCCACCTCGACCAATTTTATTATCCTCTGAATAATCATTTGTTGCAGCTTGAATTGCTCCATAATCAAGTTGCAGAGACTCTGAGGTTGTTTTATCATCTTCTCTTGCACAATAAATGTCTTAGTAATCAGAAAGAAAAATAAAGAAGAAGATGATAATTAATGACATTAATCAAACCTAACTAAGATTGTTAATCTTTACCATCAAGAGCAGGTGCTGTGCCATAAGTCTTCTTTGCCCTCTTTGCAAAGAAACAATAACCAGCTATGAAAAGCCGAACAACCACTATAATAGGCACAACAATGGCTACCACTAACACTGTTGAATTCCTACTTTTCCCTGTTTTCCGAAGATCATTTGCTTAAGATAAGAAAATAGTAGACGCTAACCGAGCTAAGATCAAGTAAACAGGGCAAAAAACAGAGGAAGAAGAAAGTGTTCACCAGGTAGTGAAGGAGATGTCAACGGAGGCGTAGACCCTGGAAACCGCATCGGCGGTGGTGGTGGTGGTGGTGGTGTTCCAATGGCGGTTTCGTTGTAGAACGCGTAAAGCTCATACCTTGAATTACAAATTGGCCAAAACTATCTTGCTCCAATTTTAAAAAGTGATATTCTATTGATGGTACTTATCAGACAGCTGAAGCAGTCTTGTCTTGTAAGATCAGGAGTGCACTGAACCAACCAGTAAAAAGTCTGGAGTGCGGTGATAAGCCCTACCGTGTGTATGTGAGACAGAGGCGCTCTCGTGTGGAAACAGGGGATGGCACGTGCGAGAATTAAATGATGCTAGCCGTTGGATGGAAGAAGAAGGATAATTGTTGATCAAGCAAGTGGGAGTCAGCTTCTAGAAACTCTTAGCTTTTATCTATAAATAAGAAGTCTCGGGTGTGAGATCAGTCATGCAGAATTTTATGTACAACTTCTCCTGCGTGGGATTTAAGGGTAGTGATCTAGAAGGTATGATGTTCTAGATCTATACTTGTATGTAATTCTGTATTAAGAACTCTATGAATCCGTACTCAGTTCTTAACATGCGGTCAATTCGGTCTTTATCGTAGAGAATCTTCTAGAACTGTTGGCTGCTACCATGGCAGCTTGGTTCATATTAGATAACACCAAACCTATAAACTGGTCTCTTTGATTTTGAATAGAAGAAATATTATTGGGGTTCCTCATGATATGTTCTCCTTCGTATGTAACTGTCGATAGAATATTCTTGTGAGAGTATCTAAGTATGCACTCCTCATAATAGAACACAGCTTCTCTCTGATTTGGACACCGAGTTAACGATTCGTTAACGGAGAAGGCAACGCAGTTACGGCAAACTTCGGGCGAGAGGTCTCCGCGGCAAAGGAAAAGTCCGGTGACCCTGTCGGGGGTTTGTCCCACCGTGGCGTTTTGGAATCCGGTGGAATAAGAGGCGTTACGGGAAGATAGAGAGGACAAAAGGGTTTTGAGATTGGTGGAGTAAGTGCTGTTACTTGTGTAAGTTGTCGTATTTGGACAATTATGATTTAGGTAAAAAGGATCTTGAGCAGAAGCTCTGAAGCTAGTGAGGAATGAGAAAAGGAAAAGGAAGGTGAAGGAGAAGAAAGAAGACATGTTTTTTTTTCGACTTCCTTGATTTGAGTTTCACATCATGGAGCTTCTTCCATTTATAAATTGAATTTTTTTCTTTTCTGCTGATTAACGTGAAGTATACGATGGTTTGTGACGATAAGTCGTCAATCAAAGTTAATGTTAAAGAGAGATGAGATTGAGAGTGATCTTAGTAGGCCTATTTGTAAAGTTCATTGTTTCCAGACACATCTTCACAGTTAAACCTTCCACTGAGCGTGTTGATTTGTTCAGATTCTGAATCAATGAATGCTACAAAATGAATCAACTAGGGTTGTGAAATTACTGTTTTAACTTATAACTGTTGGTTTGTTACTTGTCTGGTAAGCAAGTTTAACGGTGCTGTCTTATTTTAAGTCTCGGCGCCAAGCAGAACAATATTTTATTTTATATCTTTGTCGGAAATATATTGATAGACGTCAAAACTTAGAAATTTATAATTCCATTTTCTCTACTTATCGCTTCCAGCTGTTTTAGTCTAACATTTAAATAACAAGAAAAGTTGATGTTACTCGTCTCGGTGACTTTGACTTTCAAGATATTGTATTAGTTATTTAATTTACAACAAAAAAAAAAAGAAAAAAAAAAAAAACCTTTGACGTACTAGATGGTTTCACATTTCATTTATATCACCACTTTACAAATCATGCAAAATCGCACCTTCACAATCCCACAGTACTCTGTTTACAAGATCATTGGAGGTATTGCTGAAGCGATTCTAGAATGATTCACAACTCATAATCATACATTGTGACTTCAAAGCAGGTAATATCCTCTTAGACGCTGAAATGAACTCCAAAGTTACAGATTTTGGATTGGCCAAATTTTTAGAATGAATTAAACTGTAATGCCAACATTCTAAGTGTTCTCTCCCTATATCATTTTTTTCATTCAGAGAGGTAATGAATTTTTTAATCGGTGGTGATGTCGACACTAGACTGATTATTCTTTAATTAAAAATCAAAACAAATTACATATGGTTTTAACAAACCAAACCAAATCAGACTAAACAACTCGTAGGGATGATCACGTCTAGATATATGTAAATATATGCTTAAACTTGATTACAAGCTTGAGGTTAACATCATAATTAGCGCATAATTAGCGCGGATATAAATCAGTGATCGCTGGAAAAGACTTGGTCGTGGTAGACTGAGGTCCTTTACATGTCTACTTTGAATGAAAAACCCTTGTTGCCGAGGAACTGGTAAAGTCACAGTATTACTAGTGAGCATCATGAAAATTGTTGATACTGCCGGACGCTTTACAAGATCTTTGAAGTCGATCTTGTAAAGCATCGTTTTGCTAATTAACGAAGCTTATTAATTGAAACATAACCATGTCTAGTGACTTAGCGATGTGCCTAAATTGGCATAGTCAGCAAGAATTTAAGATTTAATATAAAATCAACAAAAATTTTAGTATCTATTTTACTAGATGCAAAGTTGAGGCATTTTTTTCAACGAAAATGCATAGTTGAGATTTTTATAACATGTTTCCCGATTCTAGACTAAAAAGCATGTACAATGAACAAAGTTTTCTTTCAGTTAACTTTTCCATTGTTCACTTTCTTTATGTTCTCGGCAAGCTAAGAAAGTGATGCTCTTCTTTTTTAACTTTTATAAGTTCTCTCTCCCTATCTCAATTTTTCCCTTCATAGGTAATGAATTTTCAATCGGTGGTGATGTTGATAGCTGAGACTAAATTAATTATTCTTGAACTAAGAATCAAACCAAATTACATGTGGTTTTAACAAACCAAATCAAAACTAACAATAAACATAGTTCATCAAGTCTAGAAATATGAAATATATGCTTAAACTTGATTTCAATCGTAAGGTTTAATTACACCATATTCAACGAGGGTATAAATCAGATATCGATGAATCGTCAATAGCTACTGGAACAGACTTGCTGGTCATTGATTGATCTGAATCAAGCGGGTTTGTTCCAGGTATACTCCTTCCAAAAAACCCTGGTTGCTGAGGCATTGGTAAAGTCATTGTATTACTAGTGAGCATCACGGAAATGGTTGACAAGGCAGGACGCTCTACTGGACTTTCTTGAACACATAAAAGACCGATATGGATGCATCGAACCACTTCACTATTTTGGCAGTCATCTACAATGATTGGATCCACCAGGTCTAATGTTGTTCCGTTTCTCCAAAGCCTCCAAGCCTAGAATATCAATGAGTCAAACAATTATTGCAACTATTGCTTTTTGTAGGATGAGGAGGGGCATATATAAAAATCATTTCCTTTAAACTTACATGTGTCACCAAGTCTTGTGCGTCATCTGTCTCGTTGAAGCTGTTATTCTTCCTACCGCTTATAATCTCAAGAACTAATACTCCAAAACTGTAGACATCAGATTTCATTGAGAATTGGCCACGCATCGCATATTCAGGAGACATGTAACCGCTGGAATCCACATCAAAAAGTTTAATATGTTATGAGAATAAAATGTTCAACGAATTTCAACATGTTGTCAAGTGGAAGACTTACTAGGTACCAACTATTCTGCTTGTGTTCTGCTGGGTTTGATCCATTCCAAAGATCCTTGCCATTCCAAAATCAGCAATTTTAGGATTCATATCTGCATCCAGGAGAATGTTACTCGCTTTAAGGTCACGGTGTATGATTGTGAGTCGTGAATCTTGATGAAGATATAGGATCCCTCTAGCAATCCCACTAATGATATAGTATCGCTGTGTCCAGTACAGCTGACCTTTCTTTGCAGGATCTGTGCACATCCATGAATAGTAGTTAGCTCTAACCATGTTTCAAGACTGGTTAAGGAATCAACGAAACAACTCATCAAATGCAACTGACCAAATAGGAAGTTATCAAGGCTTTTATTTTCCACATACTCATAGACCAATATCCTTTCTTCTCCTTCTATAGAAAATCCGAGAATCCTAACCAGATTTTTGTGCCGAAGATTTGCAACAACAACAACCTCGTTCTTGAATTCTGTGTCACCTTGTTCTGATGTTTTCGACAGTCTCTTCACTGCAACTTCGGTTCCATTTGAAAATGTACCCTATCCATTTTTATCAGCATTATCTCGTTATCTAAATATGTTGTAGCAAAAAAACACAATCGATAAATTATATAGTAGTATTTACTGTACCTTGTAAACGTCACCAAATCCACCTCGACCAATTTTATTATTCTCTGAAAAATCATTTGTTGTAGCTTGAATTGCTCTATAATCAAGTTGCAGAGACTCTATGGTTGTTTTATCATCTTCTGTTGCACAATAAATGTCTTAGTGATCAGAATAAAAAAAAAAAGAGGAAGCTGATAATTAATGACATTAATCAAACCTAACTAAGATTGTTAATATCACTTGAATCTTTACCATCTAAAGCAGGTGCTGTGCCATAAGTCTTCTTTGCCCTCTTTGCATAAAAACAATAACCAGCTATGAGAAGCAGAACAGCCACTATGATAGGCACAACAATGGCTACCACTAACAAATTTGAATTCCCACTTTTACCTGTTTTCCGAAGATCATCTGCTTTAGTAAGAAAATAGTATACGAATAACTAAACAAATTTGAAAATTCTGCTTTCCATATTGGTAATACTGCGAAAGTCAAGTAAATAGGGGGAAAAACAAAGGAAGAAGAAAGTGCTCACCAGGTAGTGAAGGAGATGCCAACGGAGGCGTAGACCCTGGAAACCGCAGCGGCAGTGGTGGTGGTGGTGGTGGTGTACCAATGGCAGTTTCGTCGTAGAACGCGTAAAGCTCGTACCTTGAATTACAACTTGGCCAAAGATGTCTTGCTCCAATTCTAGAAAATGGCAGTCTATTGATGGAACTTGTCAGACAACTCATGCAGTTTTCTCTTGAAAGATCAGGAGTGCATTGAACGAGCCCGTACAAAGTCTGGAGTGCGGTCAATTCGGTCTTTATCGTAGAGAATTTTCTAGAACTGTTGGCTGCTTCCGTGGCAGCTTGGTTCATATTAGATAACACCAAAATTATAAACTGGTTTGTTTGATTTTGAATAGGAGAAATATTATTAGGGTTCCTCATGATATATTCTCCTTCGTTTGTGTTGGCCGTCGATAGAATATTCTTGTGAGAGTATCTGAGCATGCATTCATCGTAATAGAACACAACTTCTCTCTGATTTGGACACCGAGTTAACGTTTCGTTAACGGAGAAGGCGACGCAGTTACGGCAAACTTCCGGCGAGAGGTCTCCGCGGCAAAGGAAAAGTCCAGTGACCCTGTCGGGGGCTTGTCCCACCGTGGCGTTTTGAAATCCGGTGGAATAAGAGGCGTTGGGGGAAAAGAGAGAGGACAAAAGGGTTTTAAGATTGGTGAAGTAAGTGCTGTTACTTGAGTAAGTTGTCCTATTTGGACACCAATAGGCTAGGTCATTAGGTTCTTGAGCAGAAACTGTGAAGGTAGTGAGGAATGAGAAAAGGAAAAGGAAGATGAAAGTGGTCAGAGAAGACATGGGTTTTTTCACATCATGGAGTTTCCATTTATAAACTGAATTTTTTTCCCTCTATTGCTGATCAACGTGAAGTATACGATGGTTTGTGACGGCGATAAGTCAGCCCTCTATCAAAGTCAATGTAAAGGATTCTTTTTTTTTCTAATGTCATTTTTATCAACAACAAAAGTAAAATTTATTAAAAATGGCCATAAACATACCTTGATTTCAGTGTTTTGATCAATGATCCAACAAAAAAAACATTTGTTGAGCCAAACCCAAAACTTGACCAATGTTTCTCCAACTCTAAATTATATGGGGGTTTGGTTTCAACTTTGAGAGATTTTTTAATTTGTAGAGAGTATTGTAGTTAGAATAATTTTAATATTTTATGGATATTCATGGTTTTTTAAATTTTTTTGACTTATGAATAAAATTACAAACAATTGATCCGTCGATAAAAATATATTTAATGAAACAATTCTGTGAATGACGAATTTTTTTGCATGGGATTTAATAAAACTAAATTTTATTAAGAATAAAAAAATCCATAAAACAATAACAAAAGAATCTCAAGACAGGGGCGGAATTATGGGGAGTCTACTACGGCCTATATATAGCTTGGGAGAAGAAAATCACACGGTTGGAGCTGGAGGTAGACTCAGATTTCTGAAGACAGGGGTGAGTGAGATGCATCCGCTGTCGTTTCTGGTACGTTTGTGCCATGGCTTTTTATCGAAGGACTGGATAGTTCGTATTTCGCATGTGTATAGGAAAGCTAACCGTTTTGCTGATGGGTTAGCGAACTATGCATTTTCTTTGCCTCTTGGTTTTTATTTTTTTTATGTTGTTCCGAATGATGTTGATTCACTTCTTAGTGATGACGTGATTGGGTCTACGCGCCCAAGACGTATCCGTTTGTAGTTTGTTTATTTTTTTCTTAATAAAAGGGAGACATAGTCTCCTATTCCTTACAAAAAAAAAAAAATAACAAAAGAATCTCAAAAGTTGTGAAGGATCCATCTATCAATAACCCCCTAGATATCTAGAAGATGTATGAAAATATTTGATAAATTGTAATATAAAAAAAATTTTGAAAAAAAATTTATTGAAAAATATGGAAAAGGTATGGAGATTGTGAGGAAAATAGAGATGAGATTGATCTAAGTAGGCATATTTGTAAAGTTCCTTGTTTCCAAAATAATGACTCTAAAAATCAAAGACTACATTTACAGTGAACCTTCCACTGAGCGTGTTGATTGGTTCTGATTCTTAATCAATGAAGGCTGCAAACTGAATTAACTAGGGTTGTGAAATTACTGTTTTAACTTATAACTGTTCGTTTGTTACTTGTGTGGTAAGGAAGTTTAACGGTGCTGTCTTGTTGTCCCAAAGTCTCGGCGCCAAGCAGAATAATCACCAACTTATTAAATAATATTCAACTCCAATATTTTTATATCTTTCTCGAAACTAATTGATAGACATCAAAACTTTTTTTTTTTTTTTAAGACATCAAAACTTGGAATTTTATAATTCTATTTTATCTGGTTATATCTTCCACATGTATTAGTCTAACATTTAAATTCCTCGTGTAGGTGACTTTGACTTTCAAGATATTGTATTAGTTATTTAGTTTACCAAAAAAAAAAAAAAAACTTTGACGTGCTAGATGGTTTCACAAATCATGTAAAATCACCTTCCCACAGTACTCTGTTTTCCCTCTGTTTACAAGATCATTGGAGGTATTGCTAAAGCGATTCTATAATGATTCACAACTCATAATCATACATTGTGACTTCAAAGCAGGTAATATCCTCTTAGACGCTGAAATGAACTTGGTCGTGGTAGACTGATCTGAATCAGGCGCTGAAATGAAAGTTATAGATTTTGGATTGGCCAAATTTTTAGAATGGACCAAACTGTAATGCCAACATTCTAAGTGTTCTCTCCCTATCTCATTTTTTCAGTCACATAGGTAATGAATTTTCCAATCGGTGGTGATGTCGAGACTGAACTAATTATTCTTTAATTAAAAATAAAAACAAATTACATAGGGTTGATCATATCTAGAAATATGTAAATATGCTTAAACTTGATTACAAGCGTGAGGGATAACATCATATTTAGCGCGGATATAAATCAGTGATCGATTCATCGTCAATAGACGCTGGAATAGACTTGGTCGTGGTAGACTGATCTGAATCAGGCGGGTCCTTTACGGGTCTACTTTGAATGAAAAACCCTGGTTGTCGAGGCACTGGTAAAGTCACAGTATTACTGGTGAGCATCATGAAAACGGTTGATATTGTAGGACGCTTTACAGGATCTTCTTGAACACATAAAAGACCGATATGGATGCATCGCACCACTTCACTATTCTGGCAATTATCTACTATAAGTGGATCCACGAGGTCTAATGCTGTTCTGTTATTCCAAAGCCTCCAAGCCTTGAATATCAATCAATCAATCAGTTTGCTTAATGTAGTGTAGGAGGGGTAAAATATTGATTGCCTTAAAACTTACATGTGTGAGCAAGTCTTGTGCACCATCTGACTCTTCGAAGCTGCTATTCTTCCTACCACTTATAATCTCAAGAACTAACACTCCGAAGCTATAGACATCAGATTTCATTGAGAATTGGCCATGCATTGCATATTCGGGAGCCATGTAACCGCTGGAATCCACAACAAAACTTTAGTATGTTAACAAAATAATGTTCAACATATATTAACTTATGAGATGTTAAGTGGAAGACTTACTAGGTACCAACTATTCTGCTTGTGTTATCCTGGGTTTGGTCCAATCCGAAGATCCTAGCCATTCCAAAATCTGCAATTTTTGGATTTATATCCGCATCTAGGAGAATGTTACTTGCTTTAAGGTCACGGTGTATGATTGTGAGCTGCGAATCTTGATGAAGATATAGAATCCCCCGAGCAATTCCTCCAATGATCTTGTATCGTAGAGTCCAGTTCAGCTGAATTTGCTTTGTAGGGTCTGTGCATATCCATTGATTATAGTTAATTCTAAGATCAGCAACCCAAAGTTCAAGAATGGTTAAAGAATCATTGAAACAAAGCAATAAATGCAACTGACCAAAGAGTAAGTAATCAAGGCTTTTGTTGGACATATACTCGTAGACCAATAGTCTTTCTTCTCCTTGTAGCGAAAACCCAAGAAGCCTAACCAAATTTCTGTGCTGAAGCTTTGCAACTACAACAACCTCGGTCTTGAACTCTGCTTCGCCTTGTCTTGAATTTTTCGACAATCTCTTCACCGCAACTTCTTTCCCATTTGAAAATGTGCCCTATCCATTTAAAAGTTTTAATCAGCATCATCTTGTAATCCAATGTGTTGACACAAAGTACTCAACCTAGGGTGCAGCTAAATAATTCATAGTAACATATTATACCTTGTAAACCTCACCAAAACCACCTCGACCAATCTTATTACTCTCTGCAAAATCATTTGTTGCACTTTGGATTGTTCTATAGTCGAGCTGTAGTGAGTCTGCGGTTGTTATATCATCTCCTCCTTCACAATAAATGTTTTAGTAATCAGCTAAAGAGGCTGATGAAAATGACCACTAATCAAACTCAGTTAAGATTGTTTATTAAATCTTTACCCTCAGATGCAGGTGCTGTGTCAAAAGACTTCTTTTTCCTTTTTGCAAGGAAACAATAACCAGCTATGAAAAGCAGAACAGCCACTATGATAGGCACAACAATGGCTACCACTAACACGTTTGAATTCCTACCTGTCCCTGTTATTTCAAACATCAATGGCAAGCAGAAGTATAAAAAATATATAATCAATCGAAAGGACAAAAGTTTCCCTGTTGGTACTACTAATTTCAAGAAATCAGGGGAAAAAAACAGAGGAAGGAGAAAGAGTTCACCAGGTAATGAAGGAGATGCCATTGGAGGAGTAGACACCAACGACTCCAGCGGTGGTGGTGCTTCAATGACGCTTTCGTTGTAGAACGGGTAAAGCTCGTACCTTGAGTTACAGCTTGGCCAGAGAAGTCTTCCTCCGATTCTGTAAAGAGGCATTCCATTGATGGAGTATTGCAGACAGGCCAAGCAGTCTTGTCTTCTAAGATCAGGAGTGCATTGAACCAGTACGTGCAAACTCCGGAGTGCGGTCCAGTTGGCCCTTATTGTATAGAACTTCCTAGAATTATTCACTGCCTCCTCGGCAGCTTGGTTCATCGTGGACGATACAAAATCTCCGAATCGGTCTTCTAGTTGAGATGAAATATTATTGGGGTTCGTCATGATGAATCCTCCATGGTATATAAGGGTCGATAGAATATTCTTGTGAGAGTATCTGAGCATGCACTCCTCGTAATAGAACACAGCTTCTCTCTGATTTGGACACCGAGTTAACGTTTCGTTAACGGAGAAGGCGATGCAGTTACGGCAAACTTCGGGCGAGAGGTCTCCGCGGCAAAGGAAAAGTCCAGTGACCCTGTCGGGGGCTTGTCCCACCTTGGCGTTTTGGAATCCGGTGGAGTAAGAGGCATTGGGGGAGGAGAGAGACGATAAAAGGGTTTTGAGATTGGTGAAGTAAGTGCTGTTCCTTGAGTAAGTTGTCGTATTTGGACAATGATCGTATGTGAAAGTAGGCTTCTGAGCAGAAGCTTTGAAGCTAGTGAGGAGGGAGAAAAGGAAAAGGAGTATGAAAGCGGCGTAAAGAGGCATGGCTAGACTTCCCTGATTTGGGTTTCAAATCATGGAGCTCCCATTTATAACTTCTATTCTCCACTACTGTAGATTAACGTGAAGTAGAGGATGGTTTGTGACGACCTTAAGTCTGTCAAAGTCATAGTAAACGCCTCTTTTATTTATTTTCTTTCCTTGTATTGCATGCCAAATTTATAGTTTTACTTACCGGAGAATGATGACAAAAAAAAAGTTGTGTACACTGTTAAATATTCTTCGACAGTATGTTTTGTTGGAACAGAGATGTGCTAGGTAAGTACTTGTCTTGCGCAAGAAGCTATGGAGTTTGTGAGATGATAATGATGCAAGTAGGCATGTTTCAGTACCTTGTTTCCCAAAATGACTCTGAAAATCTAATACACATGCAGTTGTAAAGTAAACAAGGTAAAGTACTAAAAAAAGTACTTTAATAGGAACTCAACGCGAGTATCTTAAGCAGTAAGTCAACCTTCTACCGAGAGTGTTAATTGGTTATATAAATCCGTTAAGGCTAGAAACTTGTTGATGTGTAGACTGTAGACTCCAACAAATATGTCAATGAAGGTCTCAAGGAAGAAAGAAGAATTTCTTAGGGCAATTTTACAGGGATACGAACGAAATGGGTTACACGTTTTTGTCTACCAAACAGAATCAGTCCACTTCGTCTAAGCCGAGCAGGGCTGATCTTTGGATGAGTGGGTGTTTTAGACAGGTGGGATTGATGACGTATATTAGTATTACTTACTACGTCTGTCAGCGGAAAATTCGGGAGCCTTTTTCTTTAAGTTTCTTCTCTGTATTTTTATAGGGGAGATGGTCAGTTACCCTTTTAAACTGATGAGGTGGATTGGGCTGATTCTATCTCTTTTGATGGATTTAGGCAGAGCCTGTTTGTATGGCGCAGCCCACACCCAACAAAACTGAATAGAACTAGGGTTGGGAAATTACTGTTTTAACTTATAACTGTTGGTTTGTTACTTGTCAGGTACGGAAGTTTAACGGTGCTCTCTTATTGACCTAAAGTCTCCGCGGCTAGCTGAATAATCACCAACCTATTAAATATCCAACTCCAATATGTTTATCTTTTTCCGGAAATAGATTGATAGAATAGTTAAAAATTTCTAATTATATTTTCTCTGGTTTTCGCTTTCACATGTTTATTCTAACATTTATATAGTTGATTCATTTTAATTAACAATACAAGTTGATGTTACTCGTCTAGTTGACCTTGACTTGCAAGAAATTGTATTATTTTACAAAACCAAAACTTGACTGGCTTGGCTGGTTTCACATTCATTCATTAGTAGAACTCATAAACCAATCATTAAAAGCAAGAACAAAAAAATACAGAGCGGAAAGGTGAAGAAATTGGATAATGTCTGCTTATGCCTCATTAAACTCTCTCTTCCTTCTCACCTTCTTCATTGCAAGCTTGAGAGCTTCTGCACTATTACAAGACCCAACTTACGTTGGCGATGTTTGCACTAACAGGATATCAAGAAACTCCACTTACTTCTCAAATCTCCAAACCCTTTTGACCTCTCTTTCTTCTAACAATGCTTACTTTTCTTTGGGATCTCATAGTCTCACAAAGGGTCAAAACTCCGACATGGTGTTCGGTCTTTACCTCTGCAAAGGAGATCTCTCGCCCGAAGCTTGCCGTGACTGCGTCATCTTTGCTACTAAAGACACTCGGAGTCGATGTCCAGGTGGGAAAGAGTTCTTGATTCAGTATGACGAGTGCATGCTTGGATACTCAGACAGGAATATATTCATGGATACTGTAACCACAACTACAATAATCACTTGGAACACTCAGAATGTTACGGTGGAACAATCCGACCGGTTCAATGATGCAGTGGTTTCTCTGATGAAAAAGTCTGCAGAGGAAGCGGCTAATAGTACAAGCAAGAAATTCGCGGTTGAGAAGTCGGATTTCAGTTCGTCTCAGTCGCTTTATGCATCGGTTCAGTGCATTCCTGATCTGACTAGTGAAGATTGCGTAAGGTGTCTTCAACAATCCATCAAAGAATTATATTTCAATAAAGTCGGAGGAAGATTTCTTGTCCCGAGTTGTAACTCAAGGTACGAGCTTTACCCTTTCTACAAGGAAACCGTAGAGGGAACTGTTCTTCCTCCGCCTGTTTCGTCTCCTCCACTGCCACCGGTTTTAACTCCTCCATTTCCGCCTGGTAAGAGCTCTGTCTTATTCACTTACATATATAATAGTTATTTTGGTTTGAGACATTCAAAAGTTGGGAAATTATATGTCATGTCTAATATAAGACTTATGCAGGAAAAGGCAAAAATTCCAAAGTGATAATCATAGCAGTTGTTGTGCCGGTGGCTATATGTGTTCTTCTTTTTGTGGCTGTTTTTAGTTTCCATGTAAGAAAGAGAGCGAAGAAGCCTTCTGATACAGAAGTTGCAAATGATGGTAAAGATTCCAAAATCTATGTTTGTGTTGCTTAAACTTTTATGGATTTCAATTCTTAAATCTTTTGCAGGAGAGGATGACATTACAACTGCAGGATCACTGCAGTTTGATTTTAAGGTTATTGAAGCTGCGACAGATAAGTTTTCGATGTGTAACAAACTCGGTCAAGGTGGATTTGGACAAGTTTACAAGGTACCACTACCAGTTCATTGAGCTTCCTAATTACTTGCATAAAAGATTCAAATAAGGGGATGGCTCTGTTTAATTTACTATCTTTTAAGGGCATACTTTCTAATGGAGTACAAGTTGCCGTGAAGAGACTATCGAAAACATCAGGACAAGGTGAAAAAGAGTTCAAGAACGAAGTTGTTGTTGTGGCAAAGCTTCAGCACAGAAATCTTGTCAAGCTTCTTGGATTTTGTTTAGAGAGGGAAGAGAAAATACTTGTCTACGAGTTTGTGTCTAATAAAAGTCTTGATTACTTCTTGTTTGGTAAGTTTTAGCTTAGGAAAGATATTTCATTTTGGAACTCATGTTTTAGACATTCTAATTATATGGATGTGCAGATTCTAGAATGCAGAGCCAGCTAGATTGGACTACAAGGTATAAGATCATAGGAGGAATTGCTAGAGGAATATTGTATCTCCATCAAGATTCACGACTCACAATCATACATCGAGACCTAAAAGCGGGTAACATCCTCTTGGACGCTGATATGAACCCAAAAGTTGCAGATTTTGGAATGGCGAGGATTTTCGAAATGGACCAAACAGAAGCCCATACGAGAAGAGTAGTCGGAACCTAGTAAGTTTTGGTCTTGCCATCTATTAAATATAAAAATCCCCTATTAACTCCAACATATATGTATTGTGGCAGTGGTTACATGTCTCCCGAGTATGCGATGTATGGCCAATTCTCAATGAAATCCGATGTTTATAGCTTCGGAGTCTTAGTTCTTGAGATTATAAGCGGGAAGAAAAACAGCAGCCTCTATCAGATGGATGCTAGTTTCGGAAACTTGGTTACATATGTGAGTATAAATAAACACTTATAAAATCTGCTATTTTTTTTTCTTTACAAAATAGTCACAAAGATTTTAAGTCTTAATTAAATTGTTCAATAGACTTGGAGGCTATGGAGTGACGGGTCACCACTAGAGCTCGTGGATTCGTCCTTTCTAGAGAATTATCAAAGAAACGAAGTAATTAGATGCATCCATATTGCTTTATTATGTGTCCAAGAAGATACTGAAAATCGTCCAACCATGTCAGCGATCGTACAAATGCTTTCTACTAGCTCGATCGCCCTAGATGTACCTCAACCACCTGGATTTTTCTTCCGGAGTAAGCATGAAGAAGCAGGTCCATCGATAGATAAGTCTTCTCTCTGTTGTTCTATTGATGCTGCATCGATTACTATTGTAGCTCCTCGTTAAAGACAAACTCGTTTCTTAGACCATAAATAATTGTAAATTCAAGATTTAGATTTTTGTGTTCATTTTCTAATCTAGGAAAATGTTACTAGATTTGATTCAAGATGTTTGTTCTCTTGGGTTGACTCGTGTGTCGATTTTTGTTTGAGTCAACTGCAAATTTTTATCGCTGGCTATAGATTCTCTCGTAAGGCAGAGATTCACAATTGGAACAAACAAAAAAGAAATGGTCCACGAGGAAAAAAACAAAGACAATCAGACGAAGTCATCATCGAGAAAACGATAGCAACCACTATCGAAGACGAATTAAGTAAAAAAAATGCGAAGACTCTTAGCTGTTTTACAATTCGCATTGCTTTCTCTTGCAAAACGACATGTAAATTTATTTCGAAAAAAAAAAAAAACCTGAACCATCAATCGAATCATATCCATAGATTTTACCAAGAAGTGATATAAATTATTTAGATCCTTTCAGACGAAAAAGGGAAAAAAATTTGATGGGTAAAAAATTACGTGAACCCACTCACTTTTGATGATTAACTTGGCAAGCAAGCAGTCACAGCAGTGCCAAAGCCCTAGTTCTTTGTCCTTTGTCGGCAAGAAAATAATGTGCATTTGTTATGTACAACCCCATTAGGATTGGATAGCCCGTGTATCATGGCCTCATAGGCCTGAGGGCCATAAAGATAGTAGGAAAGCGATGAAATTGCTTCTTATAGATTATATTAATAAATGAATACTATTAGGTAAAGACAATATAAAGAATTAATTTATCATACCATAAATGTGATATTTGTTTCCACTTATAAATAGATACCTAAGAAGTAAGAAAATGATGTAAAAAAGGGAAATGAGGAAAGAGTTTTGCATAATAAACAATATTTTATAGTATACAATTTGAATTCTTTTCCTTTTCTTAGCAATAAAAGTAAATTAGATATAGTCAACCATTCATGTTCTTTTCTTGTAAACTAGTAATTAAATTACGACAATTTAAAATTCTATGAACTGTCGTTTGCCATTTGTACAAATGCAATGAACTTATTTGGCTTATGAGTACAGAAGTAACGCTCTAAAATTAGGCAGTCACGCAGTAATTGTGTTTGTTTACCCAAATCTATCTATGTGTACAGAAAACGGTGACGTGTTTTTTTTGGTTTGATGTTGATTTTCTCTATCGAAAAATCTAAAACTAGTGTATGTAAAAAATGAATATAGTCATTTATTATTATTATTATTTTTTTAATAAAATGAATGAATTTAGTTTCCGGAAAGAGAGAATAAAATAAAATAAAATATATAAGAAGAAAAGGAAAAATAAAATTTTGTTGATGAGTAGAGAAAATTAGGACATGTGAATTAAGAACGGGAATCAAATAGGGAGATCGTGGAAAAACTATAGAATTTTCCGCCGTTTATTATATGTTTCGATGTCAAAGGAAGAAAAACTATAAAGACGCAAGCCTAGTCTCAAAAAGTGTTTACTTACGTAAAAATACTGATAAAAAACATAAGAACATAGTGCTACAAAATCTCCTCCGTTCTATGATATAAAGCAAATTATCCAGAAATAAAAACAAAGACATACAATATATTTGATTCGTTATTCAATTGCATATATACATGCCAACACATGTTTCCAATATGACACTCTAAAAAGTATCTAAGCTTTAACAATTGAAATTTTACATAATGAGTCATGATCTGCAACATAGTTTGAAAGAATATTTTAGGAAAAAATCGTTAGAAGATTTAAAGGAAGAAGCGCAAGATAACACTAAATATATTATTTAAGGGCTTAGTTACTTCTTTAATCTTCAAAAGAATCTTTGTGCCCAACACTTCTGGAGGTGGATGAGGAACCATCTTCCTCCAATATTGGTTCTTCCAAGTCGGCCTTTAATTCATCAAAAGTGAAACCACGCTGATCCCAAGGGAAAAAAAGCTAACCTTAGTCACTTTAATATGTCAAAATCACTAAAAATGTGATTATTACTAAACCAGATTGGTTCATCAGAAACATTCAAATTTCACTAAGCTTATGTGATATTGTAGCCAGCAAAAAAAAACATCAAAATTAAGATTCATAAGAAATATGTGAAGAAAGTCTGACTGAAAGAGATTACCAATAGCTCATAGCACGTCATCTTTATAACTTGTTCAGGTTTTAATTCGCCATCAAGAAGTCGTCTAGCTAGCACTCGTGAGTTCTGAAAACAAACAATAAGAGATCACAACGAAAAGCTCAAATACCAAAACAAAAAAAAAGTGAAAATAAACGAAGAAAATAACAGCTAACTTAAAATGATATTTACAACAAACTGAAAACACATCTAAACAATTTCTAATATTCTCCAATATAAACAAGGTAAACGTAGCATAGCATATATTATCTCCAATATAAACCAACAACATTTCATAGTTTAGGAGCTCATGCATTGACAACAACAACAACAACAACAACAAAAAAAAAAAAGAATGGAGGAGAAAAATGAATTAGCCTAACCTTAAGTTTACCAACCAGAATCTCCAACTTGTTACTATACTTTGATATATCTTCTTTCAAAGAATCATATAAAGCTTGCTCTAGAGCACTCACCACTGAAACAACATCATTTGGCCAGAAAGAATCATAATCACCAGCTTGCTTCTTTTTACTTGTGCGACAACTAGGCTTAACTACTTCCAGAAGCTCCTCCAAACTCTTGTCACGATCCGAATCACCGGTCAACAAATCAAAATTTTCCAAGATCGAGTTAACCCCATTATTGCTTTCATGACTTGTTTCCACCGCTTTTATAATATAGCTTTGAGGAACAGATCGTTTACTCCTCGAGATCAAAGTCTTTTGCTCCTTCACAATGTCAGGAAGATGGCCAACTCGCAAAATCGTCTTTTCCACAAGATGATCTATTTCACGCTTTTGCTGCAAGTCAAAGCCATTAAAAGTGAACTTCCTAAGCATTCTGCACGATGAAACTAGGATGCTTTCTACGGTTTGGGATTTGCTTATTCTCTTGAATGAAATGTACAACACAATCGTGTTTTACAGATTCAGCAGACACTTCATCGCGATGGAAACTGTAAAAAAGGTCTCTTGAGTCTTTGGGTTCCCATTTTCCGACATATTTTTTCTCCACATCTTCTGGACGATAAAGCCACTGCACTTCAAGCTTCACATATTCTTCTTTTTCTTGTATATAAATATCCTGTCCACCAAACAATTAGATTACGATAAGATATATAACAACTGGAAAATCATATCATTTTTTCTTCTTTTTCCAACCTTTATGATCGCAACGTAGGGCTTTTGGGTTGCATCCTCTGGAACCAGTAGCACTGAGTCCTCCTATGCAAATAAAAAAAATAAGAAGAAAAAAAATCTAATAGAAATGGTAATATATAATAACTACAGAGAAAAATGGACAAATAAAATCTGTGTTACTGTATCGTTTTATACTATTAAAAAAATTGTTGTTATATGTTCCGCATATATCAATGCACCACCATTTTCAAAGTTTAAATCAACTATTTATAATCTTTATTTAATTCATAGCTCGCATTTATAGTGATAAAACCCATATAACTATAACTGGTTAAAGATTTTCATAAGACGGTGCTCCTTATATCGAAATAGATTTTCATAGTATTTGTTAAATAATATTTTAAAAAAGTCAGATTTACCTCCAAATTAGACAATGTAATATATGAAATGAAAGATCACGTACAATTTAGCCAGCATAGTAAACAAATTGTTATCAGTCCTTTTCCGTTTTCAAATGGCCTAAACATTTAACGTTAAATTAAATGAAAAGCCTACAGTAACTTCTTTTAGTATGTATCCAAATTGTTCCTCGTATTTTCCATTTTTTTTTCGCAAACACATTTCAAGTACTAGATAAATGTTGTAATCAGTCAAAACCTTTATATCAACATAATCTGAAAAGCAAAACAAAACTCACCAGTCCATATTTATTGGCATGAAACTGAAATGTCTTGTAATGACATTTCTTCTTTTCTCCCTCACCAGTACACTTATCTGATACTCCAATTACCTGAGCACAATCCTCCGGTCTCCACTCTAACTTTGTTTTCTTATTCACTCGCATTTCCTCACTCTCCTTCTTCCGCTCCATTTCCACTTCTTTGGTGGTCAACTTCAGATCCCTCAATCTTGGAAATGGGACATTGTTTTTATCTTTGCTCATCAACACTTCATTCAATTGTTGGGTTAAAATCTCTTTGGTCAATATCTTTCTCATACGGGTTATAGTGAAAAAGATACTAAATATTTTATATATTTCTGTATCCTAATAAACAATCCGTTATAATAATTTCATATTAAATAGATAAATGATGAATAATTTGGGCAACCTAGAAATTGAATCACCCAATACAAATTATCCAAAAATATTCAATTGCACTCACCACTAAAAACAAGAATCTTCAAATTTTAAAAAGAACTGGAGAATTTACCAACAAATTACTTAAATATGTAATAAGTCAGCAGACAAAAAAAATTATTATGTAATAAATCGTCTTGGCAGTTGAATATTTATAGCGAGTAACGGCACAAGACAAGTAACCCACAAATGTATCTATCTATAACGGATTTTAAAATTTCATCCACACATGTTCACACTTTAATCATAAGTTCATAACATATACAAGTACAATATCAAGTAATCAATATGGGGTTTAATTTGTATGGTAAGCATATTCCCGAAAAACAAAAATAATTTACCAACAGAAAGCTACTTAACCTATATGAAACTTAAAAAATCACTTTGAGTATCCCCTATATATTAATAGAGAAACATTTTTTTTAAAAAACTTTACCATCATGTGTTATTAACAAGATTGCCACACTGATGTGTCGCTCTCACAATGATTTGGATTCTATTTAGATAATTACCCAAGATTTATTAGACTATTTACAGAATTTGCCATTAGTCTCACATCCATATATTCCATTAATAATTAAAAACATACACTTTTTGTTTATCTTATATTACTATATATTTATATTTTCTTTACATACATTTATATAAATTTTCTTTAGCGAATGGGTAAACAATCTTTTTATTTATATTTATATTTATGTTTATATTTAAATGATAAAATATATACATTTGGTTCAAGAATCTCGAATTCAAGACTACAAAATCTTTACACAGGGCCGGTCCGGTAAAATCGGAGGCCGAATACGAAACAAATTTTTGAGGCCTTTTTAATAAGTAAAAACTGTTAAATTTTTTATTTTTTTTGCTAATTATGGGCCATTTACAATTTTTATTTAACATTTTTTCTTAATTTTTGGACATTGTTTGCTAATTATAAGATTTTTACTCATTATGAGGCCTTCTTACTAATTATGGGGTTTTTTTGTTAATTTTGAGGTCTATTTTACTAATTTTGAGGCCTATTTTACTGGTTTTTAAGAAAAAAAAAAAAAAAACCTCACAAAATGGGCCTCGGAAATTTGAGGCCCAATACAAATGTTTTGTTCAAATCTGTCCAGGGCCGGGCCTGTCTTTACATCCATTCATAATCTAAGAATCTTAGATTTAGAACACTACAAAATCTTAGCTTGGAAACTATCAAATATCATCTTTGCTAAATTTTGGATTTCTTATACTTATTAATTTATTTATTTTTTTATACTACAAAATCTCGAAATCTTTAAAACATACGGAAAGACATATTGCCATAAATGGTAATATTTTGTCAATACTTTTTTTATCACGTTGAAGCTTTATTCAAGGTTCAAATATTTCACGGGTAAAACATATTCTTATATGAAATAGTCCCAAATTTGAATTAAAAAAAAAAAATTGTAACATGTTTTGTTTTACACAAACGGATCTTGGATCCCGGATAATAATTTTAATCATAATAATTTTATTTGAATTACTTCATCCCGCACATCGTGCGGGTTGTTATCTAGTTCATTTTATACACAAAAAAAAAAGTTACTCAAATTCGTACCTGATTATTATCCCACCAGACCTATGTTTGGATATGTCTTGGCTTCGTTTTACAAATAGATATATTTTATATGATTTCTGTAATGTTCTTTCTGAAACATTTTTCTTTTAAATTGGTTTTAATAATCATATCTCTAGGTAAAAAAAAGTCATAATTAGATCTTACAATAAATATGTTATTTTTATACTTTTAAATTTTAAAAAAGGAAAATTTTTAAAAAAGTTTTAAAATCAATAATATATATATATATATATATATATATATGTATATATGTATATATATATATATATATATATATAGTAATTAATTTAGTCATTTCCTTTTATTAGCAAATAAAAGCAAACCTATATAGGGACAAAACCACTAATTTTCTTTTTTCCTAGTTAATAACAATTTGAAATCTATGAACTGTCATTTGCCATTTTTCCAATATTAATAATGTCTATTAAAATATAATATTCAAAAATTACACCTTAAATGGCGTTTTACAATAAAAACGACACAAATGGTTAACTACTGATCACGTGTTTAAGCTGAATTTTAAGATTCACCGTTCAAGAAATTTTCTCACATTTCTAGGGTCTGTGAGAGAGTTGGCGGCTTAATGAATTTGAAACTATCTTCAATAAAGAGAATTCAGAGAAAATCTTTAGGTTTCTGAATCTTAAAGTTTGATATTGGTTGGAAATTTTGGATATGTGAAATAGATTTTTGGGTCAAGATTTTTTCATTGACATCTTCAACTTTCCTATTCAAAATCATGTGTTCTTATTTAATTGTAGGTTACATGGACCTCTTATGATGGATTTTCGATAATCAAACATAACTATGTCAATGAATAAATTCAGAGGTTTAGCTTAAGCCTCTTCTTATCCACTGTAACAAACTCCAACCATCTAATTAACTTAGCCATTAATCACTTTAAATAAAAAAAAGCTATATTCTCAACATGCATCGTTTGTATAAGGATGAAACTTTTTAGAAAAGAAAGACAGAGAATCCCAAATCTCATTGGTACACTAACAACACTTGGAATCAAAGACGATGAAGGCTCAAAAGAAAATATTGGATTAAAATTCTCAGCAAGTTGATAATGTTTATGATAGAACACAAAATGAAAAATCAGAATTCAGAAAATAAAAGATAATTAAGAACTAAAATTTTAGAATATGGTCATGGTTTCTCCTTGGCCTTACTTTATGCTTCTTCTGTCGAAATTTTCTTTCAAGGAGTCTTCTTAACTTCTGGTTCCCAGGACATGGTATCTTCAGAATCATCGTCCTTCTCTGAGATCCTTCTCCTCTTGTTTGGCTCTTCGATTTCCATCCCCGCTTCTGGTTCTTGCGATATTGGAGCTTTTCTCGCAGTTTTGTTCTTCATCGGCTTCACATCGGTTGCATCACTATCCGCTGATGATGAATCGGATGCTTCACCATCCGCTTCATAGGAAAATTCATCGGACGAAGATTCACTCTCCGATGAATATTCGTCACTTGAATGTGGTGACCGAGCTCTAATGAGAAGAGCTTTGTAAGGGGCTTTTCTGGTTTTCGACGGCTTCATTTGCGAACCAGTTGCTTCACCATCTCGTGACTTCACTTTAGATGACTGACCTCTTATCGGAAGAGCTTTGCAAGGCTGCTGGGGAAGGGGAGAAGCCTCATCTGGTGATAATCTTGACGGCTGAGATTTGTTCCTCATTGAACTTGCAAACCTGAAAGATCAATGGAAATAATTCACAACAAGAGAGAGTGAGAGAGACAATAAAAGATAAAATCTTGTGTGTGAGAATTATAAGTGTCTTTGGAGGACTCTAAATATATAGAGTTTTCTCCTTGCTTTTACAACCCTCAAAATGGATGGTAACGGGCTTTAAATTTTTTTTTTTTTTTGTCTTCTTTTTGCGCGTAAAATACGAAAAAGAAAAATATTAGATTAATGTTGCAATTTTAAATCGGACTGTTTGTTGGGACGAATCGGAAGTCTCTAAATTAACTTCCATCTATTTCAAAATTTGGTGCGATATAATTTTTATAAAATATATTTTTAATAGTTTAACTCGGTATGCTACAGTTTGAAATTTCAATTCTTCTCATGTAAACATGTATCCCGGTTCGAATTACAAATTATCAATTAATTTAGTTATCTAATTGAAAAAAGTAATATACTTCTTCATAATACTTTATTAAGTCTAAAGTAAAAAAAGGTAAAATATCCGTCTACAAAACTTAGTTAGGAAAAGATTTTGTAGATGGATATTTTACCTTTTTTTTTACTTTAGACCTCAAAACATGAGCTACTAAACATATGTATCTAGTATTTTTTTAAAAAAACTTACTTAGGAAAAGATTTTGACAGTGAATGTATATGGTATTAGATTTTTTAAACATAGAAAATATGATTTCTTTTTATATAATTTTTTTTTTATATTTGGTAAAATTTATTAAATATGAATTTTCCATTATTTTAATCGAAAGAAGGATAATGGACATCAAATGAAATTTTGTATCTTATTATGTCAAATACATTTCAAGACAGGTCAAAGTTCTAAGACATTAATTATGGATTTTTTCGTTTTAATCTGAAAATTGCACTAAAACAAAAAAAACTCCTTATATAGTCAAGTTTCTATTGTTTTCTTTTTATGCTTCTATGATTAGACAAAAATCTCTTAAACCATTTAACCGAAACGAACAAGTTTAACAATTTTCTTAGTTCAATGGAATTCACCAAAAAAAAATGTCTTAGTTCAATGAATAGAATTTTTTAAAAAAAATCTTTAAGTTTGAAAAAGATTTAACTCTTTTTAAGAAAAAACTTGTAACTTATAAGTAAAGTGTTTCTAGTCATAGAAGCATCAAAAGAAAAACTAGAAACTCGACTATAAGGGAATATTTTTAAATCTAAATTATAAGACAAAACCAATAAACCTTTTAAAATAGTATGTCTTAGAACAATGAACTATCTTGAGAGGGATTTCACATAATAAGATACATAATCTTTTAAAGTTTTGATTGATCTTCATTCTTTCGGCTGTTAAATGTGCATCGGCCCTCACTCTTCGAGTACAATCTTTTTATCGGTACACACTGAGTTAATTCACCTCGATGTTAATATCTGTTATGGTGATTTTAAATCGTGAGAAAGAATCGAGGTTAATATCCATCGATTAGTATGAAAATCGAACTGATTTACAAAGATAAAACGAGATTGAAATTTAAAAAGCTCTTGGTCTATTTTCTAGCTTGTTTTCTAGAAAGAAGTGACCTTGGTCTATACGACCTCCTCCTCATTTTTTACCCGTGTTCCTTAGTCAATCCATGCAAATCATAACGTCCCAATCTCGATGTCTACCAATTTAACGTCCCCTTTTTCAATTTGTTAAATAGGCCCGTTTTATTTTGACTTGTTCAAACTATATGGGCCATCACGAGCTAAACTGATGTGACTTGGGCCTGGTTGAGTGATGGAGCTCCGGAATGTTGCAGCTCGATGTTACCTATATAGGCTTTCTTTATGGGCCTTGAATAGGCCGAGTTCAAATGTGAGAATCCAACACCAACAGTCACTTAGAACAACTTTCCATATTGTGTATCATCTAATCCCAGATGTTACTTTGCTTTTAATCCCTAGGAAGAAAATCTTTTGGTAATCGCAATTAACTAAGCACTATGTATGTATGTGTCAATGTGTGATGCTTTTAGTTACTTTGTGCTGAAAATTGGGGCCTTTAATGTGAAATCGAAAGTTTAGGGTTTCTCGTGGATATTAAAAAATGTTGAAGGAAAAGATAAATTGAAAGAGTCTGCAAAGCACACTCCAGCTTAATTCCGTATCATTTTAGAATTTCTGACTTCACTCTTTGACGGCTATCTTTTTTTTATTTTGACGGCTATCATTAATCTTTTAGTTTTTATTAATTTTGACGGCTTTATATTAATAAGATTTCTATTATGTCAAATGTTTAGTTGTTACTTTGTTTTTTATCATAAGATAAGTTTTGTGATTCGAGGTGACGAATGTCGATAGGAATAGGGAGAAACTGTGCGTTTAAGGACTTTTTTGTTGGTGTGGAGAGTAGAAGTCATGGCCGCCATATTTGAGTCACGCACGTGTCCACCTACCTTACCTTCTTCTAACTTATTCATTCATGTTCGATAAAATATACATTGATATTAATTTAAATATATAACATAGAAGTGCACAATTACAAGAGTTATTTTTTTGTTTTTCCTAGTTTTTTTACATACGTTACGCATATGCACACGCAAGCAATTCTGCATCTATTTGGCTATTTTAATGGCAGCCATAATTGATATCAAATAAATAAATTACTAATGCCACATGTTCTTTTTAGTCCATCTTCAAACTTATTAAGTGTATCGATATGCAAAACAATTAGGACTGTAGTAAAATATAGATAGAATCGATTTGTGTGATATAATGAAATTAGAATGAAACTCGATTCTTAGGATTTTAAAATATAACAAAACTCGACTGTGTTTTGAGAAAACCAAATTCTTGAAAAGTATTTGAAAAATACCATGACATTTTGAGGGTTTGTTTCGAGAGGAAAAATATTAACTAAAATCTACTTCAATTCAACATTGAAAATAGATTACCAAATAGTTAACAAAATTTCTAAACATGTTTTACTATGATTTTGTCACGAATACAAAATCAAACTCAGATAGAAAAATTAGGTGATATAGCCATAATTGTGTTTATTACTAAAAATACAATTATTTCTATAAATAAGGTAAATGGCCAAATTACATGAACAATATAGACAAAAAAAACTTATAGTGTTATAATTAGGATATTTTCAATTCCATCCCGTATCTATATATAATTACACAAGTAGAACTTTTGAAGGTGATTCATTATCTACCAATCACATGTTTTTTATTTCACATTTTTTTAAATTACAAAGCAGGATTTGATTCCACCTACTAATCATATGAAATATAAAAACATAAACGCCAATAGATAATGATTCTGTTTTTATAGTATATTTCTTTTGCTATAGAGTATTATTTGAGGTCATGCGGTTGGTTAGTGACACATTTTTCATTATTTAACCTTCTAATTTAAATATTGTAAAGTATAGAATTAAGAATAGAAAATATCATTATACAGTGTTTAAAACGGTTATTTAAAAACTAATGGGTAAAAAATGTGAAAAAAGAAAAAGTAAGAGGCAAAATACGAAAGAATCTTTTATACAATGATTATTAATTTATCACTTTCTTTTGTAGACAGCTCAGCTCAACTGATCGGCTAATGCTCTCACTCTTTCTTTTTTATCAATTTTCTCATTTCTCTCAGTCGCATATAAATTGAAACCGCCGATTCGTTTTTGCTCTTAAGCTTTCTTCTTCTTTATTTCGACGGTGTCTCTCAATCTCCGTCAAGGTTGACGACTTTCAGGTCTGATTTGCTTCTCTTGTTCTTCGGTTTGTGATTGATTTGTTCTTTTTTTTTTTCTCATGATTTTTTCGCTATTGCATGATTTTGGTTTTTGATTATTGTTTGGTTAAAAGTCGAATTTGTGCAGATTTTTGGTTTTTGTTGTTGTTTTTGGTTTGGTGATTCTCGAATTTTGGGTGATTTGATTGTGTGGAAGCTGCTGATTCCAATCATGTGATTTTATTTTTTATTGGAATTGAGAAAAGTGTGAATGTTTGTGAATTGTTATAATTGCAGGAGCTATATAGACCATGGCGCTCTTGTCACAAGCAGGAGGATCATACACTGTTGTCCCTTTGGGATGTTCAAAGACTGGAACTAAATCAGTTTCTGGTGGTGTGAGGAATTTGGATGTGTTGAGGATGAAAGAAGCTTTTGTTAGCTCCTATTCTAGGAGTCTATCTACAAAATCAATGCTTCTCCGTTCTGTTAAGAGGAGCAAGAGAGAGCATCAGTTGATTGTTGCGGCAAGTCCGCCAACGGAAGAGGCTGTCGTTGCAACTGAGCCGTTGACGAGAGAGGATCTCATTGCGTATCTTGCCTCCGGATGCAAAACTAAGGACAAATATAGGTACAGTTTGATCCTTATATGTTCTGTTAGTAATTGTGACATATTTCTTAGTTTGTGTATTGGAGAAATGTTCCATTTCGCTAACTTAACATTCTGAGTTTGCAGAATAGGTACAGAACATGAGAAATTTGGTTTTGAGGTCAATACTTTGCGCCCTATGAAGTATGAGCAAATAGCCGAGCTGCTTAATGGTATCGCTGAAAGATTTGAATGGGAAAAAGTAATGGAAGGTGACAAGATCATTGGTCTGAAGCAGGTAAACATTCCCCTGTGTGTCATCTTTTGAGCGGTTTTATTATTTAAATACATTTTCAGCCTGTAGAACATGTTAGCTTGATGATATACAACACAATGATCGGTGTATTATAAGGGTTTTTTTTTTTTTTTGGTTTGCTGTAGATAACTCGTTCTAACCTTTTGTTGTTGATCAGGGAAAGCAAAGCATTTCACTGGAACCTGGGGGTCAATTCGAGCTTAGTGGTGCACCTCTTGAGACTTTGCACCAAACTTGTGCTGAAGTCAATTCACATCTTTATCAGGTAATTTCAAATATAATTATTGCCAATGCTCTCACCGTAAAACGTGACAAATAACTAACTCTCTATGGATGTCACAGGTAAAAGCTGTTGCTGAGGAAATGGGAATTGGTTTCTTAGGAATCGGCTTCCAGCCCAAATGGCGTCGGGAGGATATACCCATCATGCCAAAGGTATGAGGCTTTCTCTATTCTTAATATTAAAGAAAGTCCACCACTGTTTGTTTCTAATTCAGATAATATTATCTGGTTCTACATAGCCAACATTCGGATTATTTATTGCTGTTTGTATTAGGATTTGCTTTGACGAGTCTGGCAGTAAGATTTGACATAATGTGTCCTGTGCAGGGGAGATACGACATTATGAGAAACTACATGCCGAAAGTTGGCACCCTTGGACTTGATATGATGCTCCGAACGTGTACTGTTCAGGTTTGAGGAATATTCTGACTTTGCGCCTTTATTTAATTTCCTTAAACTAAACGTTCCAGCTCTCACCAATAATCTTATTTTGAAACTTATGGAAACTGCATTACTTGCAAT